GCTGAAATGTTATCAGGGTTGACTCCTGCCTATTCACAGAATTACAGAACCACAGAATTGTAGAGTTGAAAGGCACCACCATCTGCTCCAACCTCCAGCAGTACAGGAATCATTCACCCAACATGGGACTTGAACTCATGACCCTTGAGATTAAGAGTCTCATGCTGTACCAGCTGAGCTACCTTGGTGCTCCAGCAAGCCGGCCACACCCTTTCCCAAGTTATTCTGTCCCTTTCCCAAGTTATTCTGGCCACACCCTTTCCCAAGTTATTCTGGCAAACAATGGCTGCGAGCCACCATTAGCTTCATTGAAAACCAGCTGCAGGGAATCACAATGAGGAGAGCTGATGTGGCACTCAGCTCCTGCTTGCGGGCTTCTCACAGGCATCTGACAGGCCACTATGAGAACAGGATGCTAGACTAGTTGGGACTTTGGCCTGATCCACGAAGGCTCGCATTATGTTCTTACACAAGCTGGAAACACTGGTAAATAAAAAGATCTGTGGTTGGTGCATGGTAAAACATTGGGGTTGGCACCATGTCATATGGAAGCAGTGGTTGGCCACTGTGAGCAGAGAGTGCTGGCCTAAATGGGCTTTTGACCAGATCTGGCAGGGCCCTTATTATATCATTATGCTTAGCTTTGGTTGGGTCAAACCAAAAACATTACTACTTCCTATATACTTGAATAACATGGCCAGGGCTATTTTTCACCCCGAACTCACCAGTTCTGGCACCTGTCAGGTGGGCGCCATTGCCATTATTAGAGAACAACAGAGGTGTTCATGGTGAGTTCTGGCAGCTCTTTTTCTAGAAAAATAGCATCGATCATGGTCAAAAGTGGCTCTCAAGTAGTATTAGTGATCCTACTAAAAGGAAGTCCATATAAATGCAAGTAACTAAATCCTATGCTTGCCTCTTCCATTGGAAGCAATAGCAGTGAAAAGGACTGGATTGCTCTTTGATAAATTTACCCCCTCACCTTATCAAACCTCTAAGAATTGTTTTCGGTTAGTAAACAATTTGCGGAAGTTGCAGGCTGCCGTTCCACTTCTCTGTTGGCCGACCAAGTGAAGTATGGTGTGTTTTTCTTTGATTCTATGTTTAGGATCAAGCTATACATCACGTTCATCACATGTTTACCCTCCTGAGGTTTTCTTTTGTTTATCCAAAACAGCTGCTCAGGATACGATCTGTGGCAGGAGCAAAAACCGGTGAGCATCTCCAGATGTTGTTGGACTACAGCTCCCATCACCCCTGATTGCTAGTCATCCTGGCTGGCACTGATGGGAGTGGGGAGTCCTGCAACATCTGGGGGGCCAAAGGTCCCCCCACTCCAATCCATGGGTCATCTCCAATGTTAGTCATACTCAGAGTAGAAATTAGTGGACACAATTTCAATTGGTGGACATTAATTCCAATGGGTCTACTCTGAGTCAAACTTTGTTGGCTGCAACACAGTTAGGGGAGACTGGAAAGTGGAGAGATCTCTTAAGCCTTTGCTCTCCTTTGGTTTTGACTCACGTTTCTTTATGATGTTACTGCACTTGTGTTATTGCTGCTTGACATTTTGCGTAAGCACCCCAAAATGTGTCTGAATCGTGGCACGGAACTGAAGGACGAGTAAAAAATGTGCAGAAACGCTACATCTGACCCTTGATTTACCATGGTAACTGGTTTCCTTTAACTGAATCCGATTGATTTGTATATATTAGCCCTTTTCGTCCTTCTAATATGATTTCTACCTCCCCCTAAAACAAAGCATAGAATCATAGGGTTGTATCCAATGCTGTGTCCTACTCAAAGTAGACCCACTGAAAATGAATGGGCCTAAGTCAGCCATCTAACTCCAGCCTGATACAGGATCTAGAATTCAGGGTGGAACTATAGCAATTGGGAGAACATTGGGTTCACAGGCCTAATGTGGGCTGCTGACGTTCTCAAACTTAGGGCTGCCAAACTGCGTCCAGGCAGTAATCGCGGGTGTAAGGGTGCTGTCAATGACTCCTGGCTGGTTGCCCAGGAAAGTATTAAGACAAGGAAAAGTTTCTTACAGTCCTTTTCTTGTTTCAAACTTTACAGAGAGAGGCTATAGAACCCAGCCTCTTGGATAATGGCATTGTCCCAAGTGAATCTCCACCTCTGTCTCGCCAGAGGAGGAACTGCTCGCAAGATCTTCGGAGGCTCTCTATAACACAACTGCCCTTCCACCTCTCGCATCTGAGCTGATGGCAGTTCCCTGACAGATGCGAAATGAAAAAAAGTGTAATTGGCTGGGAATGATGGGTATTGTAGTCCAATAGCACCTGGGAACCCAAGGTTGAAGAACACTGAACGAGATGAACCTTGAGGGACCTTCCAACTCTATGATTCTGCAGCACACATTCCACAGTATGGCCACTACATGGAACAGAATGCCAATCTTTCCTCCAGTAATACTCATAAGAATATAAGCACATAATAAAAGCCTGCTGGATCAGGCCAATGGCCCATCTAGCCCAGCATCCTGTTCTCATAAAGGCCTGTGAGAAACCTGCAAGCAGGATCCAAGTGCCACAGCACTCTCCCTTCTTGTGTCAGGGACTGGGCAGAGGAGGAATGGTGGAGAGCACCTTCCCATCCTTACCCTTCAGAGGAAGGCAGTCAGATTTACAATAGTGGTTTGAGGGAGGCCACAGCTCAGAGGCAGATGAGGGGGGAAGTTGGGAAATAATGGGAGAAGAGGAGGCAGGACCAGAGTGGCAGCTAGCTGACATAGTGTCACTAGTAAGCATTCCAGACCCTCCATCTCCCAGAACCCAGAGAGCCTTAAAAGTAGGAGAGCAAAGAGCTCAGAGGACACTTAGTGGCACCCATAGAGGAACAATGAGAATGACGAATGAGGAAGTGGGAGAGATGGGGGTGGAGATTCACTCAGGGCAACGCCATTATCCAAGAGGTTGGGTTCTATAGCCTCTCTCTGTAATATTGAAATAAAAAAGGATGATAAGAAACTTTTCCTTTGTCTTTACACTTTCCTGGGCAACCAGCTAGGAGCTGCTGACAGCATCATGACAGCTTCTGGGTTCCAGAAAACAATATTCAGAATCATTATTGCTTCCAATCATTGAGGCAGAGCAAAGCCATCATGGCTAGTAGTCATTGATAGCCTAATTCTTCTTGATAGCCTAAATCCTCTTTCAATACCACCCAAGTTGGTGGTCACCACTGCATTATGGGAGAGTGTGCTCCATAGTTTAATTATATGCTGCATGATCATCCAGCACCATCCAGCCTTTTCCTCTTTTCAAGGTCCCAAATCTATATCTATCTATCTATCTATCTATCTATCTATCTATCTATCTATCTATCTATCATCTCTCTCTCTCTCTCTCTCTCTCTCTCTCTCCCCCATCTATATCTATCATTATCTATCTATCTATCTATCTATCATCTATCTATGTCTATCATCTATATCTATCATCTATCTATCATCTATCATCTATCATCTATCATCTATCTATCTATCTATCTATCTATCTATCTATCTATCTATCATCTATCATCTATCATCTATCTATCTCTATCATCTATCTATCATCTATCTATCATCTATCATCTATCTATCTATCTATCTATCATCTATCTATCTATCTATCTATCATCTATCTATCTATCTAATCTATTATCTATCTATCTATCTATATCTCTATCATCTATCTATCATCTATCTCTATCTATCTATCTATCTATCTATCTATCTATCTATCTATCATCTATCTATCTATCATCTATCTATCTATCTATCTATCTATCTATCATCTATCTATCTATCATCATCTATCTCTATCTATCTATCATCTATCTATCTATATCTATCTATCTATCTATCTATCTATCTATCTATCTATCATCTATCATCTATCTATCATCTATCTATCATCTATCTATCTATCATCTATCTATCTATCTATCTAATCTATCTATATCTATCTATCTATCTATCTATCTATCTATCTATCATCTATCTATCTATCTATCTATCTATATCATCTATCATCTATCTCTATCATCTATCATCTCTCTATCATCTATATCTATCTATCTAATCTATCATCTATCATATTTCTCCTCCAAGGAGCTTTCCCTTGGCTCTCCCCCTCCTCACAAGGTTAGGTTGAGAGATAGTGACTGGCCTAGCATCACCAAGCCCACTTCATGACCGAGTGGGGATTGAACTCTGGCCTCCTAGGTCTTCGTCTGACACTGACACCATTACACTATGCTGAGCCCTGTGGCTCAGGGCCTGAAGGTGGTGAAGGAAAGTTTGGTGAGGATTTTGAGAGATGCTCATAGCTTTTCCATGTTCGATAATGATAACAGGCACCTTTCTAGCCAAGGAAGTCCCTTGCTTATACCAAAGAACAAAGAACAATGGGGAGCACAATTTCTGTATGAAATCTTGGGGATAGGGCTATTTGGGAGGGAGGAAGAAGGATGGACGGTTCATAACACCTCCACTGGCAATTTGAGATAATAGTGAAATCAGTTTCATGTATGCACATATTTACCCTACTTCTTAACAGGCATGAAGGCCTTCCTTAGCAGGGGTGCCGAAACTTCAGCCTTGCAGTTGTTGTTGGACTACACTCTCATCATCCCTGACCATTGGTCATGTTGACTGATGGGAGTCCAACAACATCTGGAAGGTCAAAGGTTATCCAACCCTGATGCAGAGCAACTAGATTTTCCTCAGAACAGACCCGTTGAAATGAATGAACCTAAGTTAGCCATGTCTATTATCTTCAGTGGGTCTACTCTACTCCTACTCTGCCTAAGAGTAGGATGCAACCCATGGAGTTGTACACAAATGGGGAAGAACTGGGTCTTACTTTCAAGAGAAGAGATTTTAATAAATAAAACATTTCTGGCCAAAGTGCCAGACCATTTAATTTCTAAGTGAATATTAAAATATCCCACCAGTTTAATCAAAAGCATTTTCTTTCTTTCTTTCTTTCTTTCTTTCTTTCTTTCTTTCTTTCTTTCTTTCTTTCTTTCTTTCTTTCTTTCTTGGTTTCAGCCAGCTGCAGCTTTCAGCTCTTCAGGTGGTAAGCTCGCTGTTTCTAATTTTGACACAGATATGCAAAGATACTTTTTCACTGGAAGAGCACTCTTCTCTGACGTTCTCGATGCTCGGAATGCATGTCAACTTCCTATCCTGTCATTTTGTAATTTTTTTATATGTAAAAAATACGTTTGATTGAATTTCATACCTGTGGGAAAACATATACATCTCAGATTACACCTCATCCATATAGAAATAATATAATACTAATACAAATAATGATTTAAAAATTGGAGCAAATAAAAATGATAAAGAATCTTGGAAAATATTGCAGAGTAACTATTGTGGACTGCTAAGGCCATCTTACATTCAACTCTATTTTTTAAAAAATTTCCCTGTTCATAAAACCCCCAGGCAAAGATAGAGACCAGCCCAATTCCTCCATGCCTGTAAAAGCAATAAACTCATGCCATACTTCCAAAAATGAATAATTTATACACTGGCCCTGCATCATCTTGCTGTATTAGTGTATCAGTGGGGTAGCCAAAGTGCTGCCCTCCATATTTTGCTGTACTCTAACTCCCACCATCCCTGCCCATCGGCCATTCTGGCTGAGGCTAATGGGAGCTGGAATCCAACAACACCTGAAAGGGACCACAATGACTACTTTTTCAGGTAGTCCATGGTTGAACTATGGAACTCTCTCCCACTGGAGGCAGTGATGGCTGCCAACTGAGGTGGCTTTAAAAGAGGATTGGGCAAAGTCATGGAGCAGAAGGCCATCGATGGCTCCTAGTCACAATGGCTATGGTCTGCCTCCTGTCAGAGACCGAGGTTAAGGAGGGCTGCACTGAAGAAGAATGGTGGGAGCCACCCTCTCTCCATGATCTTGACCCTGAATCTTCCCAGGAGCAGGAGAACAGTATAGATTTGGAACAGTGGTTTGCAGAGGGGCATAGTTCAGAAGGCAGAAGCTGGGAAATCCTGGATGGGGAACAGCTAGGAGAAGAAACAATAGAGGAGAGAGAGTTAACAGATTCACAGTCTCTGGACAGCATTCACCCCTGTCTCCAAAGTCACAGAGAACTCAGAAAATGTCAAAATAGAAAGCTCAGATTATAAGATGTAGGAGTGATGTAGATTAATAGGGACAGAAGTGGGGAGTGAACCTTAACTGGGAGCATCACCATTTCTAGAAGATGTGTTCTTTGTTCTCTCGCTGGGATTATTAAAGTTTCTAACCGGTAAGATGTTCCTTTCGTTTGATCTTCTTATCTATGGCCACGGGGGGAGGAAGCCCATTCACAATGTATTTTTGATAGTTTGTGGCTTTTTTAAGAACTGCATCACAAAATTAGGAAAAGTGTGTGATCCAAAGGATATCTGTGCTCCAACCCACAAGAGGATAGGGATCCATACCTTGATTCACAAAGATCAAATTCCTCAAGCATTTCTATTGGATCCCAGGTATTATGGGAAGGAAAGGCACTTTCCCCATACACTGGCAATTAAACTGAGGCTGCAATCGTAAGCATACTTCCTTGAAAGATAACTCCAACTAAATCAGTAGGACTTGCTTCACAGAAAACACATTTAGGGCGAAACATTATCTTTCAAAACACTAACATGTGGGTCCACAATCAATGTGTCTTCTCCCTTCTATGGTTGCTATTTATTTTCTGGTGCTGCATCTATCACTGATTGCCTCACCCCATGCAGCTATACTTCTCAGATGGCACACTGCTGAATGTCTCATGTGGCCCTGAGGTGTGCATAGATTGCTGTGGAAACTGGGCTTTAAGTGTTGCGGCTCCAGCTCTCTGGAATGGGTTATCAGCCCAAACTGGACAGTCGCCTAATGCCATGATGTTTAGGTGACCCAGCCCTTTACAGAAGAGCAGCTCTATATCTACTACGCTTTTAGAAGTTGTAAAGATGGTTTGCTGGTTTTTAGGTTCGTTGAAATGTTGCTGAAATAATTTCATTATGTTCGGCACTTGTGCCTTTGAGTTTTATCCTGATTTTATCTTGCATACAGCTTCTGTGGTCTTTGGCCACATCCACACCATACATTGTCAGCAGTATGACCACTTTAAATGGTAATAGCTTTGCCTGAAAAAATTTGGGAGCTGTAGCTTGTTAAGGGTGCTAAGAGCTGTTTGGAGAGCCCTATTTTCCTCCCAAACCGATAATTTTTAGAATGATTTAACAATCAATCCCACTTCCGAGGGAACTGTTGGAATTGTAGCTCTGGGAAGGGAATAGGGACCACCTAACAACTCTAAGCACCCTTAGCAAACTACAGTGGTACTTCGGGTTACATACGCTTCAGGTTACATACGCTTCAGGTTACAGACTCCGTTAACCCAGAAATAGTGCTTCAGGTTAAGAACTTTGCTTCAGGATGAGAACAGAAATTGTGTTCCGGCGGCGCGGCAGCAGCAGGAGGCCCCATTAGCTAAAGTGGTGCTACAAGGTGCCTCATGATATTCTTGTAAAGAAGCTGGTAAAATGCGGTCTTGACTATGCTACCACTCAGTGGATTTGTAACTGGCTGACTGACCGAACCCAAAGGGTGCTCATCAATGGTTCCTCTTCATCCTGGAGAAGAGTGACTAGTGGGGTGCCACAGGGTTCTGTCTTGGGCCTGGTCTTATTCAACATCTTTATCAACGACTTGGATGATGGACTCAAGGGCATCCTGATCAAATTTGCAGATGACACCAAACTGGGAGGGGTGGCTAACACCCCAGAGGACAGGATCACACTTCAAAACGACCTTGACAGATTAGAGAACTGGGCCAAAACAAACAAGATGAATTTTAACAGGGAGAAATGTAAAGTATTGCACTTGGGCAAAAACACTGAGAGGCACAAATACAAGATGGGTGACACCTGGCTTGAGAGCAGTACATGTGACAAGGATCTAGGAGTCTTGGTTGACCACAAACTTGACATGAGCCAACAGTGTGATGCGGCAGCTAAAAAAGCCAATGCAATTCTGGGCTGCATCAATAGGAGTATAGCATCTAGATCAAAGGAAGGAATAGTGCCACTGTATTCTGCTCTGGTCAGACCTCACCTGGAGTACTGTGTCCAGTTCTGAGCACCACAGTTCAAGAAGGACACTGACAAACTGGAACGTGTCCAGAGGAGGGCAACCAAAATGGTCAAAGGCCTGGAAACGATGCCTTATGAGGAACGGCTAAGGGAGCTGGGCATGTTTAGCCTGGAGAAGAGGAGGTTAAGGGGTGATATGATAGCCATGTTCAAATATATAAAAGGATGTCACATAGAGGAGGGAGAAAGGTTGTTTTCTGCTGCTCCAGAGAAGCGGACACGGAGCAATGGATCCAAACTACAAGAAAGAAGATTCCACCTAAACATTAGGAAGAACTTCCTGACGGTAAGAGCTGTTCGACAGTGGCATTTGCTGCCAAGGAGTGTGGTGGAGTCTCCTTCTTTGGAGGTCTTTAAGCAGAGGCTTGACAACCATATGTCAGGAGTGCTCTGATGGTGTTTCCTGCTTGGCAGGGGGTTGGACTCGATGGCCCTTGTGGTCTCTTCCAACTCTATGATTCTATTCTATGATTCTATGAAGTTAAGAACAGTTTCAGGTGAAGTACGGACCTCCGGAATGAATTAAGTACTTAACCTGAGGTACCACTGTACATGTCACAGGATTCTTTACAGGAAGCAATGACCAGGTCCTTGCAGAAGGGAGGCAGCCCTGTACCCTTGCCCCAAGCCTCGGAGGCCTAAGCAGGCTGGGAAGGGGGTGCCAGGGGTCTGCCAAACTTCTGCTGTCATGCCAAGAACAAGACTCCCCCCCCCTCCGGGCTTCAGAGAAGCTGTGCATAGGCCTGGCAATAACTGTTTAAAGTGGCATCATAGTGTTTTAAATGACTGGTGTTAAATGTAGCCTTTATGTTACAAATGTGCTAAACCAATAAAGGTTGTTGCAAGCATGTATCTGTTTGGAAGAATTATAAACTGCCTAATCAAATAGCTCTCTAAGAAGTGTAGTTGTAAATACAGTAAAACTGAACAAAATCTGTCATACAATTAAAAATGATAGATGATAGATAGATGAAAGAAAGAAAGAAAGAAAGAAAGAAAGAAAGATGATAGATGATATAGGTAGGTAGGTAGGTAGATGATAGATAGATAGATAGATAGATGCTAGATAAATGATAGAAAGATGATAGATAGATATAGATAGATAGATGATAGATAGATAGATAGATAGATAGATAGATATAGATAGATGATAGATAGATCATTGGTGATGATAGAGTCCCCATCACCAAAATGCAACTAAGTTCAGAAAAAAAACTTTTAAAACAAATATAGTTAATGAAGTTTTATGTCTGGGTAGGCTGACAAACAAAAATAGAGTTTAGCAGGTGTTTAAAATGATATAGCAAGGGTGTCCTAAAGTGGGATTGAATCCACAATGCATCCCATAAAGTCAGGAAACAAGGGATGGGGAGTTGTCAGCACTGAACAGCACAAAAGGATAAATTGGCCCCCTGTGCCCACCCCACCTGGGTTTCAGTGCAGCTGCTCAGGCTACAGGAAATTCCCCAGTTCTAAAATTATCCTCTCCTCTCAAGAGTGGCGAATCAGAAACTAGAACAGATAAGCCAAACACCTCCAGAAAAGGAAGTGAAACTGTGTGAAGAGACCAGTGACTCATGAAAGACTGAAAGGAGAAAGAAAAACATGTTCGCTGTGTTGCCCGGCAGAACTGAAGTACACGTCGCCGTTCCCCCAAGGCCCAACCCTACTGATTCCACATCTTGTACAACAGCAATCAATTAGTTTGTTTTCTTTCGTTGAATAGCCGTTTTAAAGGAAACATAATGTCAATAAGCCTAAGAGTGGGTCTGCCTCGAGAAATTCACAGAAGTAAATAAAATACACTTTAATCCTTAGGTTGGTTGACTTGGTCTTTCGATGTGCTTTGTCATCCAAGCCAGAACAAGAAGAATGTAAGAACAGATCTGCGGGATCAGAGCAATGGTTTCATGAATCACAGATACAAATCTATGATAAAATTGCAGGATTTTAGAGTAGGACCTTGGCTGTCCCGTGAACTGGCCCACTGCTCCATGCAGGAATCTTGCAACCACAAGATTCTTAGTCTCAGTCTCAGTCAGTGTTATTGCACATAGCCAAAGGCTGCCGCAATGTACACAGAATTATTTGACAATTAAAAGAAAATATACTGAATTGATAAAAAAGACTTAAAACATTTATATTATCAAAACATTACGTGCTCTAAACAGAGCTATAAAAGTACCCCAATGTACAAATCAAGACATTAAACAATAAAATTCATAAGCTAAAATCATCACATGGCCACTAATGTTAAAAGCAATGTCAATTAATACAGTGTGCAATTTATACTCAGAACTTGGTGACAAAGATAGAGCATAGCCTGAGGTAAATAGATAGGATCAAATAAATTCATCTCCTTTACAGTTAATGGCTACCTTGGCTATATAATTTGCTCTAATTTTTCTAGCAGCAGTTGCAAAAAGTGCTACACGCCAGGTCACATACTTATCTGTCTCTGCGAGGAGATATAAAATCATGTCAGAGGGGTTCTGGCCAGGGGACGTTGTCATTATAGGTACTAAAAATCTTTTTCATGTTTTACAGTAAGATGTATCTAGCATGGCCTTGTAACTACAAAATTCACCTTGTACAGTCTTGCAACTCCAGGATTCAGCTTATACAGTCTTGCAAGAGTCATGCAACTTCCGGGGCCATCTTGTATGCTGTTTGCAATGGGGGCCAGGAGGTACTTTCAGGAAAGCTCACATTCGAGGCAGGTTAAAGTGATGAGCAGGGCCAGCTCCCTTGGTGGACTTGCAATCCAAACTTCAAGCGAAATGCAATAATTCAAGCAAGGTATCGATTAACCAACCATAATTGCAAGCAACCACAAGCCCTGCAGCACCTCAGAGCTAAATTTAGTGTGACCTAAGCTTCTGTGGCCTAGAGTCCACTTTGTCAGTTTCATGAAGGATTGTCCTAGGTTCACCTGCTGACAGTACAGGCTGGGGTGATGGGTTGGAGCCTCCTTCCAATAACTAGCAAGAGTGCAGTTTACCTGGCTTGGTCTTCCCAGGTGATGTGTAAAAATTTTCCGAGACACCATTGATGGCATCTTTGGGAGAGTTGGAAAAAATAGTAGTGGTACCCTGTCCATCTGACTGGGTTGTTCCAGGCAATCTGGGCAGCTTCCAACATACAGTGGTACCTCGGGTTACATACGCTTCAGGTTACAGACGCTTCAGGTTACAGACTCCGCTAACCCAGAAATATTACCTCAGGTTAAGAACTTTGCTTCAGGATGAGAACAGAAATCGCACAGCAGCGGCGCAGTGACAGCAGGAGGCCCCATTCGCTAAAGTGGTGCTTCAGGTTAAGAACAGTTTCAGGTTAAGAACGGACCTCCGGAACGAATTAAGTTCTTAACCCTAGGTACCACTGTATATCAAAATGTAATAAAACATTTAAAAAAAACTTCTCTATACAGGGCTGCCTTCAGGTGTGTTCTAAAGGTTGTATAGTTACTTATCTCCTTGTCTTGGGGGGGTCGCATAACTCTGTACCCTCCAACATGTGCTGAATCTTCCAGCAGATGTTCTGTCATGCAACTTACTTTGGCCATGTTATGTTACCTATTTCTTTCAAAGGAGATTAGACAAATTCATAGAGGGCTATCTATTATTATTATTAATAAATAATTGCTCAGGGCCACAATACCTCAAGGACTGCCTCTCTCCCTATTGTCCTGAGATCATGTTCTGAGGCCCTTCTTCATGTGCCTCCTCCACAAGAGGTCCAGAGGGTGGGAACACGGGAATGGGTCTTTTCTGCAGTGGCTCCCAATTTGTGGAATGCTCTCCCCAGGGAGGCTCTCCTAGCACCTTCATTATACACCTTTAGACACCATGCTGATTGACATCCAATGCCCTTTTAAAATGTGTTGGGGAAGGAGGGATCATTGGGTTGCCCTTGTTTTTGTTTTTATTATGTATTTTGTGTTTTTATATTGTGATTTTGTGTTGAGATCCACCTTGAGACCTGCGGGTATACAAATAATAATAATAATAATAATAATAGCCAGCTTTTGGAGCATCTGCTTTGGGAGGTATGTATATTTTGTGCATCTGAATACCAGACCCTGGGAATCAAAGGTGGGGAGACCACTGTTGTTTCCCTCAGATTCTGAAGGAGCGTCTCTACCCCCATCGTTCTGCCTGGACACCTTCTGGCTGTTCCCTCCTTACGAGAAGTGAGGTTACAGGGAGCTAGGCAGAGGGCCTGTTTGGTAGTGGCACCTGCCCTGTGGAACGCCACATGTTTATTGTGTTTTTAATATTCTGTTGGGAGCCGCCCAGAGTGGCTGGGGAAACCCAGCCAGATGATGATTGGGGTATTAATAATAATAATAATATTAATACTACTACTACTAATAATAATAATAATTCCCTCTTCCCCAGTAACTGGGAGCAGAAGAAAAGTCCTGCTGCATTCTCTCTCTTAGAGAAAAACTTAACTGTAAATGAGAGAGAGAAATTTCAGGAAGAGACAGGACTAACATTGGTTAAGAAAGTGAAATATCTAGGGGTTAATATGACTGCTTAAAAATGTAAATTTATTTAAGGATAATTATGAAAAATGTTGGATTGAAGTGAAAAAAGACTTAGAAATATGGTCAAATTTGAAGTTATCATTATTAGGTCGAATTGCTGTGATAAAAATGAATGTGCTGCCAAGGATGTTGTTCTTGTTTCAAACATTACAAATTTTGGATAAGATGGATTGTTTTAAGAAGTGGCAGAAAGATATTTCCAGATTTGTCTGGCAGGGCAAGAAGCCTCGAATAAAATTTAAGATATTAACTGATGCTAAAGAAAGAGGTGGATTTGCCCTGCCAGACCTAAAACTCTATTATGAATCAGCTGCTTTTTGTTGGCTGAGAGAATGGCTGCTACTTGAAGACACTGATGTGTTGGACCTAGAAGGTTTTAACAACATATTTGGTTGGCATGCATATTTGTGGTATGATAAGGTAAAAGCACATAAAGCGTTTAAAAATCATATTGTTAGAAAAGCATTGTTTAATGTATGGATAAGATCTAAAGATTTGTTAGAAAAGAAAACCCCAAGATGGTTGTCACCAATGGAAGCGAAGGCACAGAAAAAACTCAATATGGAGGCCAAATGGCCGAAATATTGGGAAATTCTGGAACAAGAGGGAGACAGACTAAAATTGCAGAGCTTTGAAAAATTGAAAAATAAAGTGCGAGATTGGCTCCATTATTATCAAATAATGGAGGCATATAATTTGGACAAAAAAGTTGGTTTCCAGGTGGAAAAATCAAAATTGGAAACAGAACTGTTAAACTCAAAAATTAAGAATTTGTCAAAAATGTATAAGTTGCTGTTGAAATGGAACACTCAGGATGAAATGGTGAAATCAGCTATGATTAAATGGGCACAAGATGTCGGACATAATATAATGATGGCTGACTGGGAACAGTTATGGACCACAGGTATGAAATTTACGGCATGTAATGCCCTAAGAGAAAACTTAATGAAAATGATTTATAGGTGGTACATGACACCAGTCAAGCTTGCAAAAAATTACCATTTGCCCGAAAATAAATGTTGGAAATGTAATGAGACTGAAGGTACATTCTTTCATCTTTGGTGGACATGCCCAAGGATTAAGACATTCTGGGAGATGATTTATAATGAAATGAAAAGGTATTTAAATATACCTTTCTGAAGAAACCAGAGGCCTTTCTCCTGGGCATGGTCGGCCAATTGGTGCCAAAGAAGGATAGAACTTTTTTTATGTATGCTACAACAGCAGCAAGAATACTCCAGTGATGAAGCAATGATTCTTCAACATCAGCTTCGTTGGACTGGTCATGTCGTTTGGATGCCTGATTATCGTCTTTCAAAGCAACTACTCTATTCTGAACTTAAAAATGGGAAGCGCAATGCTGGTGGTCAACAAAAGTGGTTCAAAGACTCTCTCAAGGCAAATTTTAAAAAATGTAGTATAAACACCAGCAATTGGGAAACACTGGCCTGCGAAAGCTCCAATTGGAGAACAGCCTTTACCAAAGGTGTCATGGGCTTTGAAGACGCTCAAACTCAGGATGAAAGGGAGAAATGTGCTAAGTGGAAGGCACGCTTGGCAAACCCTCGCTGTGATCAACTCCTGCCCGGAAACCTATGTCGCCACTGTGGAAGGATGTGTGGATCCAGAATTGGCCTCCACAGTCACTTACAGACTCACTTTTAAAACTATGTTTATGGAATACAATCTTACTCAGCTACAAGTGATCACCAAAGAAGGAGGAGGAGGAGAAGAAGAAGAATTTGTTGTTGAATAGGACATCTCTATTTCCATCAGAGTCAAGTTAGAGGGTATGTTGATACAGAAGACCATGTAGGCCACTAACCAGTATGAAAAAGGTGTGTGTGCATTGGGGGAGCGACGCATTGCGAGCACATTGCTATTTCTGCCTACAAAACGTTGGCGTCTGTGCTGTTCTGCTCTGTTAATGGAATTCAAGCAGCGAGCTTCAATAACACGAGCTTGGCTGAGCGGAACAAAAGCAATGGACCTTGTCGTCGCCCTCACCCTCTGCCGTCACCCATAGTAGCTCAGCCTGGCACCTGTGGGAAGGCAACAATGACCTGGGCCTAAATCTGCCCCACCCCCACTGCTCTGAGTCTCTTCCTCCCTGCTCAACCTACAGCTGGTTGCCCAGGCCCCTCTCGCATTTCCTCCTGCTAACTCGTCTCATCTCTTGGTTGCAAAATGGGTGGTGCTATTCTAGGAACTGAAAGACCATTATTATCATTATTATTTTTCAGTTGCAGTCCCTGTTGTCCACGTCTTTCTTCTGGGCTCAGAGCTGCTTGTTCATCTCACAGCTGCCTCCGCAGAGCAATCGGAAACCCCTTTTCGGTTAACTGTCATTAACTGGTTTCTGATGGAGCAGAAGGTCAGGACACGTCAGCAGCCACGGGCTGGTAGTCTCTTGTCTACGTGGCTGGTTTGGTCGTACACAGTCCTGATACACACACATATTTTTAATGTCCCCAAGTTTTAGAATATACTGGACCCCATTACATTTGCTTTAAAAAAGGCCTATCTAAGGTATCTAACTGTTGGAGATGTAATAGGTATAATGCTTCTCTAAAACATATGTTTTTTCATTGGCCTATGTTGAAAAGTTTTTGGGAGAAGGTAACTGAAACTATCAACAGAACTGTATAGAACAACCTTACATTTACGGAGCAAAATGTCCTCTTGAATTATATACCCAGCACATAGAAACTTACAAAAGGACAACACGAGTGGACTCTCCGTGCCATTTGTTGTTGTTGTTGTTTAGTCGTTCAGTCGTGTCCGACTCTTCGTGACCCCATGGACCAGAGCACGCCAGGCACTCCTGTCTTTCATTGCCTCCCGCAGTTTGGTCAAACTCATGCTGGTAGCTTCGAGAACACTATCCAACCATCTCGTCCTCTGTCGTCCCCTTCTCCTTGTGCCCTCAATCTTTCCCAACATCAGGGTCTTTTCCAGGAAGTCTTCTCTTCTCATGAGGTAGCCAAAGTATTGGAGCCTCAGCTTCAGGATCTGTCCTTCCAGGGAGCACTCAGGGCCGATTTCCTTCAGAATGGATAGGTTTGATCTTCTTGCAGTCCATGGGACTCTCAAGTGTCTCTTCCAGCACCATAATTCAAAAGCATCAATTCTTCGGTGATCAGCCTTCTTTATGGTCCAGCTCTCACTTCCATACATCACTACTGGGAAACCCATAGCTTTAACTATATGGACCTTTGTTGGCAAGATGATGTCTCTGCTTTTTAAGATGCTTTTTTAAGATGCTCTGTGCCCTTACCACATCAAAAAGACTGATACTGATGAATTGGAAAAATAAAAATGTGGCTCCCTTCTATGATTGGATTGAAGACTTATACAAACTTGCAACATATGAACAACCTGCATATAAATGCAGACTTGCCATGGACAAATTCAATGATATTCTTACCAATACTGTAATAGGTTAAGATCTTTTGAAGTACAATAACAACTCTGTAAAGTATACAGTTTTGGGTTCCCCCTCTCCCCTTTATTTTCCCTTCTACACAGGTGCTGTTTTCTCTCTTTCTCTCTTTCTCTCTTTTATGTACGTCTCATTATGTTTAGTGCACAAAGTACTATGTACTTTTTGAACTTTCAATAAAGATGTCTGTGGGCAGGGGCGGGAAATGTCCCCAAGATGAATGCAAGCGACCCTCAAATTTCATAGATGGCTCAAAAGTATCGAGTCTAGAAGAGTAAAGCAAAGAGATGCCTTTCCTTCTGTTGAAAGCTCATTATTTTTGGTGTTTACTTTCCCATGTAGGCTCTTTTGTAAAATAAACATGTGGGGCACGACCCAGCCAAACCTGAGCATTTCAGAGCTCCATTGTTGTCAATGGAAGAGATCTGAATGTGTGCGCAAGCTCTCCCATTAAAATCAATCATAGCTAAACAGACAATATTCAGCTAAGCCACATTCACGGTAGACCCACTTAACTAATTTCAAAAACTCTTCTCCGAGTATAACTTTGAATCTCCCACATCAACTTTAATGAGCTAGATTTTTTTTAAAAAATGAACTCTTCTTACTGCCACTCTTGTCTCTCTCTGCATGCTTTTTTTTTTTTTAAATAAATTTATTTATTTATTTGGTTTTTCAGATTAAAGTTTTACAATCACATATCCAACATACAGCATAAAAACAAGATTCCAAAGAATTTTGTGGACTTCCCACCTCCCCTTTGTGGGTCCTATTGTTAGTCATTTCCTCCCGCATCTTTTATAATAATCCAAATCTTTTACATCTCCATTATGTCCAAAATTCACCATTAAACTACAAGTGTTATTCCAATCCTACTAACAGTTTTAGCTGTTTACAATGGTTTTTAAGACAAATTATAATTTTTCTCCATTCCTTATAAAAATTTTGGTCTTCCTGATTTCTGATTCTTCTGTTCATTTTGGCCATTTCGGTATAATCCATCAACTCTCTCTGTGCATGTTGTCCTGGTAAGAATGTGAACCACCGTAATCAAATCTGGAGCTCAAGGAAAGGGTGACATATCATCTCAGATATTCACTTTCAACACTGCAGTTATAGACCTCAAGGCACAATGGCTGTGCTGTACCTCTAGTCAGAGGCAGTATGACTTTGAATGAGAGTTGGTAAAAGCTGTAGGTGGGGAGAGCTGCTGTTTCACTCAAGCATTGCTTGCAGGCTTCCAGAAGGCATCTGGTTGGTCACTGTAAGTTCTGGGCTAGATAGGCTTTTAAAAAGGTAAAGGGACCCCTGACCATTAGGTCCAGTCGCAGATGACTCTGAGGTTGTGGTGCTCATCTCGCTTTATTGGCTGAGGGAGCCTGTGTACAGCTTCCAAGTCATGTGGCCAGCCTGACTAAGCCGCTTCTGGTGAACCAGAGCAGCGCACGGAAATGCCGTTTACCTTCCCGCTGGAGTGGTATCTATTTATCTACTTGCACTTTGACGTGCTTTCAAACTGCTAGGTTGGCAGGAGCAGGGACTGAGCAACGGGAGCTCACCCCGTCGCGGGGATTCGAACCGCCAACCTGATCCAAAAGGACTCTTCCTGTGCTCTTATTCTTAGCTTTGGCTAGGTCAAACCAAAAAGTATTCTTGTTTCATGTGCACCTGACTATTGTGACCTACAATGCCAAGTAGTAGTAGTGTAGTTGTAGTAGTAGTAGTAGTAATAATAATAATAATAATAATAATGTTTCCCCAGCCACTCTGGGCGGCTCCCAACAGAATATTAAAAACACAATAAAATATCAAACATTAAAAACTTCCCTAAACAGGGCTGCCTTCAGATGTCTTCTAAAAGTCAGATAGTTGTTTATCTCCTTGACATCTGATGGGAGGGCGTTCCACAGGGCGGGCACCACTACCAAGAAGGCCCTCTGATGGGTTCCTTGTAACCTCACTTCTCGCAGGGAGGGAACTGCCAGAAGGTCCTCGGAGCTGGACCGCAGTGGGGGTGGAGATGCTCCTTCAGGTATATTGGGCCAAGGCCAATTAGGGCTTTAAAGGTCCACACCAACACTTTGAATTGTGCTTGGAAACATGCTTGGAGCCAATGTAGGTCTTTCAGGACTGGTCTTATTTGGTCTCGGTGGCCACTCCCAGTCACCAGTCTAGCTGGTGACAGTAGCACCAGTGATCCAGCCAAAATTAAGCATATTTAAATGTCCATCACTTACCTCTTCAACTGGAATCAATGGCCCAGCAAAGTGCTTAACTTTGACTGCACTGCACTTCTGTGAATTTACTCCCCCTTATCAAACTTCTGTTTGCAATTGACAGGTGACTGGGGGGGGGGGGGACGTTGCAGACCACTGTTTGATGGCCAGTCTGGGGAAATGTTGATCTCCATGAGTACAGACCAGTCGCTGAGTATTGTAAGTGTATTGATATTTCCCTGAAAGATATTTATGCCACAATTCAAATGGAATACCATACGCAGGCACACAGCATGGGGTCTTATCTCTGGTGGGACACACATCATGCTCCTTCTGGGGTAGTTTGCCCACCTTTGGTTCCCACCTTGCACTCAACTCTCACCTGTGGTTCCTAGCATCTGTCAGGGTGTGAGTGTGGCCATGCTGGAGGAATGGTTTCGACTGGCCACCTCAACCAGGTGTGGGTAGCCGATGGGTCTCAAACCCTCTGTGAGTTAGGGACTTCCTCTACATGTGAGGCCAGAGAGGCCACCGTGTTTGTAGGGACTGGTTCTGGTGATGTGCACTGACTTCCATCCCCTTGCCATCCTCTGTGACCCTACTGAGTGGCTTTGGATGTTTCACCAACACAAAGGGAGAAGAAAGCACAACTATCCCCTGCCATGGGGCAGAAGCTCAGCTGGGGGAGAAGGAGAGGGCAGAAAGAGCTGTGAGTGGAGAGGCCTTGTCTTCTAATCCTTTGGACCCTCTGGGAAACTCAGCAAACCTTGAACTGGGTGTGGAGAGTCTAGCTAAATGGACCCTGGTTTGTGGGCAGCTTGAGGAAGTACCAGCCACCTTGGGCCTGCCCATAAAAAGCAAGTCTAGAGTGAGAGACTAGGGTGATGTCTGCTGTTTCCAGGAACTATTCTTGTTGTGAGTCTTTTGTATGTGAGCGGAGCATTTGTCGGACCCTGAGTGAGAACCAAGAGGCTGGGAGGAAGGATGTGTCAGAAGGAAAATGAATCGAAATTGATTTATATGTACCGTATCGGCCCGCATATAAGCCGCACCCGAATATAAGCAACACCTTTAAAAGTCGGGGGGGGGGGGAGGAACAAAGACAATACCCGGGCTGCTTCATGGGGATGGGGGAGCCGCGCCACTTTGCTGGCGGTGTAAGGTCGCTAACATAAGCTGCATTTTAACTTTTCACAGTTGGAATTTGGAAAAAAAGTGTGGCTTATATTCAGGCCAATATGGTATTAGCAACTTTGTATTAAAGTAACATTTCTTTATGTAACTATTTCTGTAATATTCTGTTTCAGTTGTCAGTTGTCGCTTTAATTTTTTGTACACCGCTTGGAGATATCTTAATATATTAAGCGATGTAGAAGTTAAATCGTTGATTGATTGACAGGCTGCAGTGGATTGAGCAGACGAGACCAATAGCAGGTCCAATGGTCAAGAAGGTGGTTTCTGCACATTCTGCAGAGGGAAACGAGGGGCAGACGGGGCTCATCAACCTGGGAAGGCAGTCCATCTAGGAGAAGCAAAACTCTGATCCTAAACCTCGGCTGCCTTGTGGGATATCTTTGGGAGAAGAAAAGGCTAAGGAATAAACCCTACACAAATCCTAAAATGGTTGGATGGAGCCTTGTACGCCTCCTTCTGGCAACTTCTGCAGCCAAGCTGGGCAGCGGCGTAGCGTGGGTTGTCAGCAAGGCAAGTAATTTGCGCTCCCTAACCCAAGGCAAGGCAAGTAATTTGTGCCCCCTAACCCGGGGCAAGGCAAGTAATTTGTGCCCCCTAACCCCTAACCTGCCGCCGCTGCCAGCTTCTTCTTGCTGCTGCCTGGTCTGGTCTGGTGTGGTTCTCTCCCGCGCTCAGCGCTGCGCTGGGCGGCCGCTGCACTGTCCCTCCCCCAGATAGTCCCTCCCTCTCTCTCTGCACCGCTCCACAGTGGGCAGCGACCCAGCGGCTCGGATCGGATTCGCACAGCCAGCACTGCAGTGAGAGAGAGTGAGTGAGCCAGGTAGGGGCAGAGAGCTGCGAGTGCGAGCGCCCCCCCCCCAGATGTTGCGCCCGGTGCGACCGGCACCCCCTGCACCCCCCACGCTACGCCACTGAAGTTGGTGACAATGTATTGCTCTGCTTTCCTTTGGGCCACAACAAACGAGGTTGAGAGTGGGATCTTGTCCTTCAAGTAGCCCAGGACCTCCATTCACACTGCCCAGGCTTGCATCCTGAATAAGAAATGCTTATATTTTACGGAAGAGAATAGGAATGACATAAGGATTTACAGGGCTCAAAAAGTGAAGAATGGGTACATTTGGAGAAAAAGGGAGTTATGAATGCTGCTGCATGTCACTTTAGTAAGCAGCACAAGGCTTACTCAGAGACAAAGAATTGCTGCAAATATTGCACTACGTTATTATTACTACGTTATTATTACCTCGGTTTTCGAACGTAATCCATTCTGGAAGTCCGTTCAACTTCTGAAATGTTCGAAAACCGAGGATCAAAGGACTGTCAGCAAGTTCAATGGGGAAAACCGAGAAACACGCCTTGGAAGCTGTTTGACTTCCGAGCTGCCTTTGAATCTTGGGTTAAGAACTTATTTCGTTCTGGAGGTCCGTTCTTAACCTAAAACTGTTCTTAACCTGAGGTACTACTTTAGCTAATGGAGCCTCCCGCTGCTGCCACCGTGCCGCCACCGCGCAATTTCTGTTCTCATCCTGAAGCAAAGTTCGGGGTGAGCTCCAGTTGCTCGGTCCCTGCTTCTGCCAACCTAGCAATTCGAAAGCACGTCAAAGTGCACGTAGATAAATAGGTACCGCTCCAGAGGGAAGGTAAATGGCATTTCCGTGTGCTGCTCTGGTTCACCAGAAGCGGCTTAGTCATGCTGGCCACATGACCTGGAGGTTTTATGCCGGCTCCCTTGGCCAGTAAAGCGAGATGAGCGCTGCAACCCCAGAGTCGGCTACGACTGGACCTAATGGTCAGGGGTCCTTTTACCTTTACCTTTTATAGGTGCTGCTATGTGCCCTCTGTCTTTGAGCTCTTTGCTCTCCTACCTTTAAGGCATGTCAGCCAGTGGTCAAACTGGTTCTGCCTCCTCCTCCTCTCCCATTATTTCCCAACTTTTCCCTTCATATGTGACCTCCCTCAAACCCCTGTGGTAAATCTACACTGTCTTCCTCTTCCTCCTCCCTGGAAGGGTCAGGATGGGGAGGCGGTCTCCACCACTTCTCCTCTGCCCAGGCCCTGACAGTTACTAGGAGATGAGCATCTCCTAATAGTTCATTGCCAAGATGCCAAAGGGGCATGTGAGATTCCAGAAGCTATGTACAATGATTATAATAAAGGCGGTCCAAATTGTCTCCAGGGAAGGCGATTGTGCTTCTTCTGAATCAGAGAAAGCTGTTGACTCTAAGCTCCCTTAACTGCTCCCAGGATTCTTTGACTATTGAAAGTGGTATCATGGTGCTTTAAATGCACGGTGTGAATGTGAGCAGAAATTAATCATAAAATGGTTGGGGGGCAACAGGAATTGGAGAGAAGAGAATATATTGGTCCTTGTGATTGACAGCTCAGAATCATCAGATTATATTTGATCCAGCCAGGTTCCTAGTTGCAGTCCTGCTAAAAAGGAATGGGCCAAATCCCATACGATTGACTGTCAATATGATATAGAGCAGCCTTTCTCAACCTGTGGGTCCCCAGATGTTGCTGAACTACAACTCCCATCACCCCTTGCTAGCAAGGCCAGAGCTCAGGGATGATGGGAGTTGTAGTCCAACAACATCTGGGGACCCACAGGTTGAGAACCACTAATCTAGAGCAAATAAATGTTGGGTGGGGAAAAAAAGAAAAAGCTGATGGCCAACTTTGAACTAAAAGTACAGGGTCAAATGACAATCACATTGAGCAAAGGAGTATTGCCTGTTTGCATTGTTGTGCTGTAGATGGAAGTGTGGATGTGATATGCTGATTTTTTTATCATGCTTTTAATGATTAAAAAAAGAAAAGAATTTATGGCCCTTGGATAACTAATAAAGACTGTGGTAACTACTGGTAATTGGCATCACTCCAAGTTTGGAGACAATAATATGGAACAAAAAATATGGGCTTCCTACATTCATGTCCTGCATCTCAACTTGCAAGAGGCACCAATACTGGCCACAGAAGGGAAGATGATATTGGACCAGGTGGGCTTGCAGGCTGTTCTTTCTTTCTTTCTTTCTTTCTTTCTTTCTTTCTTTCTTTCTTTCTTTCTTTCTTTCTTTCTTTCTAGATTTTTGTTATTATTTTCTGTTGCATCAATAAACTATAACACCTTCAGCAAACATCAGAGTACGGATGTTCTTGCCACATGTCTTACTTTCCCTTTCAAGTTCACACTTCTGTTAAAGGAAATTAAAGCATCGATGCACCTGTGGACACATGTCTCCCCATATTGTCCCACGTGCCAAAGTCTTTTTCTTTTGAAATGAAAACAACTTGCAGGAACTGGGAGAGCTTCCTTGCTAAAGAAATGCCATCAGTGACATGTATTAAATGTTATGGATGTGCTACCATTAGAAGATAACATACAAAAGGGATTCTCCGTGGAATGCCCTCCCATCAGATGTCAAGGAGATAAACAACTATCTGACTTTTAGATGACATCTGAAGGCAGCCCTGTTTAATGAGGTTTTTAATGTTTGATGTTTCATTGTTTCTTTAATATTCTGTTGGGAGCTGCCCAGAGTGGCTGGGGAAACCCAGCCAGATGGGTGGGGTATAAATTTTTTATTATTATTATTATTATTATTATTATTATTATTATTATTATTATTCCAAAGAGAAGGGAGGCCGTGTGGAGAGTGGAATTGCCTAGAGCACAAGCCAGCCTTTATGGAGCAAGCTAGCAATAAGAGGAAATCAGAGGATGTGCTTTGCTCCCTGAAGGTACAACTTCCTGATCAACCAGGAAGAAAAAGTTGTACCTTCAGGGAGCTGAGCACATCCTCTGATCTCCTCTTAATGCTAGCTTGATCCATAAAGACCTCCAACATCTAAGAACATGCCCATCTCGTTACATACTTCTCAGTGCTCTGCCTTTCATACATCACTTTTCAGGTGAATGTCTCACAACCGTGCCACTCTGAATTACTTTATGGGTCCAAAGAGCATTAGAGAGAAATCATAGAATACACTCATCCCCTTACACAAGTGTATTCTTCCTTCCTGGCTTAGGATAGTGCCTAAGTCCTCTTCCCTCTGTTCCTGCCCCCAGAAAGTCCCATTTTGAGGACTTTCACCAGCCTCAGCTCAGCGAGCCTAGCTCTGGTTGAGCTGGAATGAGGATGTTATGCTGAGCCAGGTTTGGGGACTTAAGGATGTCGGAGCCCAGCTGCGTCAGGAATCAGCTGGAGATCCACCACATCCTAAACTGCTCATCCCAGTGAATCTTTCCATAGGATTGTCCCCTCTCAAGTTTGTGAATTGCCCTGAGATATAGTTTTTTTAAATGAAGGGCGGTAGATAAATCTAATAAATAAAATAAATAAAGGAGGGTATCCCTTGATTTTACTCTATTTTTAAAATGCTAAGGGCTACGAATGGAATAAAAAAATTCCGACTTTCTCAGCAGAAATAATCTAGACCGGATGATCCAGGATTTGCATTTCCTAATGTTGCTTTGGTAGAATGATATCACTCAAATTTGCTTTTCTGATGCATATTCCATCCAACGGAAAGGGTATGTCAAGAGTTTGAGAGTAGCCACAGAAGAGAGCTGCAGACATTTATCTCATTGGCCCACCCAAAGAAAAGGAGGTGGGATACCCCAATTCTTTTGCCAGTAAATTCCTCAACTTTGGGAGTGGGGGAGAGGTGTAAAATGGCAAGATGGGATTTGAACATTCCGGTCTGGCTTCAGTTAAATTTATATTGTTATGTCAAAGATTCAGTCTGGGTTAGGGATGGGAGAATTTGTGAGTTTGGGTTTCTTATTGTTTTCAACCTACAGTTAAGTTCTCCACATTTCCACAGCATTTTGAGGCTGTTTATTTTTTGGTTTTTGGTTTTAAAAAACTCCTCTGGAGAATTCACCAGCATTTTAGCATGAATTTATCCCAATACACACATTTTTGTATGCAGGTTTGAATAACACATTTTTTTTTGAAACTTATTTTCCCTAATATGATGCATCTATTAATGTTAATATCATGAAAATATGTCTTTTGGGGACCTTTCCCATAATACACATATTTTTGCACACATTATTTTGTTGGAGGACTGCGCCTGAAAATTTGAAAATTTTGAAAGGATAATTGTGCCTCGATTCTCATGTTGATTTGAGAAGTGTGGAATGGGTAGTTTCTCATTAAAATGCAAACAAAATTGAATTTTGTTCCCATCCTTTGTCTGGTTTGAATGATAGGTTGTTATATCCAATGCAATACATATTTAGTGTGAACCCATTGAAATCAATGGTGCTAGGTTCATTAATTTCAATGGGTCTGCTCTAAGTAGAGCTTAGTTTAATATGTGGAAAAGGACAAAATAAGATGGAAATGTTAAAAAATTATCCATGAGAAGGAAAAGAACGTGAAAAATTCAGTGACTTACCAGTGATGATCAGATGGGTCCCTCATCCCAAAGATGAGCACAGTGACACACTGCTGTACAAAAACCTGACCTTATTTCCTGGAATAGAACATCATCAGCACCTATATCACATGACAGAAGAACAGACAATGGCACAACAACTTTTGCTTTTCCAAAGTGGAATACCTTCAGTTTCCAAAGAAGCTGTAGTTAATGACATATTGAATGTGTATTATGCTTACCTGACTGGAAGCAGAAAAGGAAGGATGCTCTAGTCATCCATAATAATGTCAAACATTCATAGTGTATCCTACCTCCTCCTCCTCCTCCTCCTCCTCCTCCTCCTTCTGCGATCCCTTGTAGCCGAGTAAGATTGTCTTTCATAAACACGGTTCTAACAGTGAGTCCGTAAGTGACTGTGGAGGCCAATTCTGGATCCACACATCCTTCCACAGTGGGGACTTGGGTTTCCAGGGGGGAGTTGACCACAGTGAGGGTTTGCCAAGTGTGCCTTCTTCTTAGCATGTTTCTCCCTTTTGTCCTGAGTTTGAGTGTCTTCAAAGTCCATGACACATTTGGTAAAGGCTGTTCTCCAATTGGAGTGCTGACAGGACAGTATTTCCCAGTTGTCAGTGTTTATACTACATTTTTTTAGATTTGCCTAGAGAGTCTTTGAACCTCTTTTGTTGATCACCAGCATTACACTTTCCATTTTTAAGTTCGGAATAGAGTAGTTGCTTTGGAAGACGATAATCGGGCATCCGCACAACATGACCAGTCCAACGAAGCTGATGTTGAAGAATCATTGCTTTGACACTGGTGATCTTTGCTTCTTCCAGTACACTGGCATTAGTTTGCCTGTCTTCCCAAGTGATGTGTAAAAATTTCCAGAAACACCATTGATGGAAACTTTCGAGGAGTTGGAGATGGCCTTTATAAGCGGTCCACGTTTCACAAGCATACAGTAAGGTTGGTAGTACAATAGCTTTGTAAACAAGCCTTTTGGTTTCCCTGTGAATGTCCTGGTCCTCAAACACTCTGCACTTCAGTCAGGAGAAAGCTGCACTCACAGAGTTCAGGTGATGCTGGATTTCGGCATCAATGTCGGCCCTTGTGGAAACATAACTGCCCAGGTAGGAGAGGTGATTGACATTTTCCAACGTTACACCATTGAGTTGGATTTGTGGCACTGCAGAGGTATCCTACCACACTGAGGTCTTTCAGGTATTTCTTCTGATACCCAGAATCGTTGCCTTAGGGGAAGTAGAACGATAGCTTGGTCTTTAGCTTGTTGTCAGCAGGAGAACCATAGAACTGGTACCAATGACTCACCTTGGCTAGTGGATGTAGAATACATTTCTTACAAGATAAGAGGTGCCAAATATGAACTTGTAGGCAGTGAAGCTTTGTCTATGCTCAGTTTCTTATAAATTTAACCCAATGCACTGGACCGTTCCTTTAACTTCCTTAACTTGCAGTGGGGGTGTTGAGAAATCAGTGTAAAAAAATGCCTTATTAATTGGTTCTGGAGGGTTACACCACTAAATTTAAACTAAAACAGAATGTACCTGGAAATTGCACTAGAAGGAATAAATTGGGAGAGAGAAATTAACATCCCACCTTGTTTCAGTGGATTCTGTCTTTCCAACGGAACCACCACCCTTCCTCTCTAAACAATATAGATGTGCATTTTGATCATACTTGCGCTGCATTATGGGTGTTGTTGTTGGACTCCAGCCCCCATCAGCCCCCAGCCAGCATAGCCAGTTGTAGATTATGATGGGAGTTTAATAACATCTGGAGGGCTGCAAGTCACCCACCCCTTGCCTAAAGAAAGTGATGTTCATCCTATGGAGCAGCACTTTTCAGAAATATTCCATTGCTCCTGTGAGTATGGGCCTTGCTCTAATACCCCATTCCTCTCTGCAGTGTTTGAATCCACGTTAGGAACCAGTGGACAGGAGGAAGGAAAATTCGCTCTGAGATATGCATCCCCCCTTCAGAGCAAACCTGAAGTTCTGCAACCACACCTATTCCCCCACAGGAGTTGATATGGGGTGCATCAATGTTTGCTTTGCACCAGTCTATGTTCCCCCTTTCCCACCTCTCTCCTGTGAGGGACCAATGACCTGCATCAGAAGATTTAGGCTGGATGTGAGGATAGGAAGAAGGTTGATTTCACATGGGCAGGGAACTGATATTTCCTGTGGGTGATATAGGACCATGCACTGTCTATGACGAATGTAGAGTCCCCACATGCTGCTTTCATTGTGGACTTCCAAGATGTATCTGGCTGTCTATTCAGCAGGGCTCTTTTTATGTCTCTGTGTTACAGGGGTAGGGAATCTCAGGCCCAGGGACCAAATACATCTCTCTAGGCTTTCCCATCTGGCCCTTGGGACTTTTCCATACCACTACCCCTCTCCAACCACACCCTAAGCCACACTCCACATCACCCTTGCTTCACACTATTCTGGAGCGTTTTAGCCTGACTGGACCTTGTAGTCTGATAATGACTCTTGCTTGATAGAGAGGGATGCGTGACCATGTGCAGAAACTCGTCTTCTGTATATGTATTGCTCCACCCACTTTTGACTTTGGCTCCCAACCACCGAGGTCTTATGGTTCTCCAACTCTCTCTCATGAAGAACATCAACTTCTTGTAGTGGTGAGCTTCAGGTACCCATGGAGGCTACTTGCACCATGGAGAACCATGAGCATCCAGGGTTCTCAACTGCTCAGTACCCTCCATGCATGGGTACAAAAGGCCCCTTGCTGCAAAGAGTTCAACCTCTTCTTGGCAGGGGCTGGGAGAGTCACATGACCTCAAGGGGATGGGGCTAACTGCTTGGCACCACAGCCCTGCCATACCTGTGTTGCATCTCCCCTCCAGGTCACACCTGGTTGTGTGTGTGAAATCAAGTGTCAGGGAATTCCTTGGAATGAAACCTGGACCCAACCAATCTCCTTTTAAACAGGATGCTGCCTTCAACCAAGTCAAACCATTGGTGTATCTCTTTCAGTATTGTCCATACTGACTGCCAGTGTTTCAGACTGTGGACATTCCCAGCTCTCCTGGGAGATAGTGTTGGGGATTGAAACAGAGACCTTCTGCATGCAAAGGAGGTGCTCTGCTAATCAGCTACGGCTTTGCTCCTCTTCCATTGGACCATGCTTTAGCTGCAGTAGGGCCTGGTACAATTTCTTTCCCTGTTTCTAAATCAATGCTGTAGGAATTGAGCTTCCAAATATACTAAGGAGTAGACAGGGAATATTTTGGCTGAGTAAGGGAATGTTTCTTCCTACAAAGTAGGAATGTGTGGTTGTTATTGCTGTAAATCAACTTGCTTACATGGAAAAGTCACTTAGTAAAGAAATGATGTCAGTGAAATGTACGAAACTGTATTAATGTGCTGACATTCGAAGCCAACAGACAAAGGGGGCTCAAGGGAGAATTGGAAGGGAGGAGGTGTGGGGAGGGGAACGACATAGGAAGGAAACCAAACTTAATGGATAAAAGTAGCATTAGCAGAAATCAGAGGACAGATTGGTCCCCTGGAGGAAGAAAGGACCCTGATGGAGGCATGAGGCCCACAATGGATTCATTCAGCCTTTAGGCGACATCCTGAATGCAACAAGAGCTCCACTGAGTTGAAGAAAGAACATGTCAGATTGGAAGGGATTTTTGGGAATGTTTGAAATACCCCCCAGAAATGATTCTGGGATGCATCCTGATCCCAAATCCACCTTTTCCATTTCCCAGGAGCTGAATTGCTAGGTGGGACTAAGAGAAAACCCTGCCTGATCTCCAGGAAAGCCACAGCCCACCGGTGTAGAAAATGCCCAACTAGATGGACCAATGGGAAGACTTGGGAGAAGGCGGCTTCCTACATTCCCATGAAATCACACTGCTTTTACCACTGCTGCTACCAGCCGTCGACCTGAGCTGAGTGCATTTTGGCTGAGTAACAGCACACTTCCTTCTGTAATATGACAGGAAACCATGAACACAACCTGTTTGAAGGAGATGGAATAAATGAGTGGGTCAATAAATCACACTGGTGAAATGTATGACATTTTATTAATTTGCAAACATTATAAGCCAACATACAAAGGAGATTCCAGGAAGAAGAGGAAGGGAGAGGGTGTGGGGAGGGGAACGACATAGGAAGGAAACCAGACTTGATGGATCAATGTAGCATTAGAAGAAATCAGAGAATAAACTTGGCCCCCTTGAACATGAAAGGACTCTTTCTTCTCAGCTGCTGGAGGCACGAGGAACTCATCAGACCCATCCAGCCTTTAGGCACAGTCCGATCTCCTCACCACCTTCTCAACGGTCTTTCCTTCATGCGTCACTTTGCAGGTGACTTCCTCCTTCTTCTCCCAGTCGGACTTTCTCATGCTGAGGTAGCTGCTGGCCGCGTACTTGTCATTCAGCTTGGTGGGCGTGGTTGTCTCCACCCCAGAGGAGATGGGGGTGCCATCAGCCTGCCAGGTAACTTGGACAACGCCTGGGTAAAAGCCATCCATAAGACACACCAAGGTGGCGCTGTCTGAGCTCTTCAATTCTTCTGGGGATGGTGGGAAGACGTTCACTGTTGGAGGTACTGTTGGCTGACCTGGAAGTCAAGGGGAAATCTGGTTAAGTGTCGTGTCTCAGGGGAATATTATATAATAGAGACATATGGGATTGCGTAATTTGTTTGATTTCATAAAGGAATTGCAATCGGATCCTATTTCCTTGTTTAAAAAACAAACGCCTCTGGAAGTCATGTCTTCTAGTTTGGGAAGGCTGTCTCCCAGTCCTCAGAGTGTAGGTCCTGGTTGTGCTGTAATCAGAGCAGGACACTCTGAGTGTGTTTCAGAGGCACCCTGTTCTTCCTTTTGGACTGATATATGACACTGAGTCTAACTTACCCTCAGCAGCTCAGAAATAAGAATTGGCAGACACTCATTGGAACACCCCATTCCCACCTTAAGGATTGCTGGCCAAGCCATTCCCCTTGTTCCTCACCATTGCACATTGCTGGACAATCTGCCTGCTGGATTCATTTAATTTGTAGAAGGGTTGCTTAAATATACTCTTCTGCTTAGATATATGCTGAGAATCTGCCTTCATTACAGTGATGCCCATTGGGATTGGTGCAGCAGAAAGCAAGAGAGACCAATGTTAGGTGGAGCTGGAACCAGTGACAGGCGAAGCCAACTCATTCTAATTTTGTCCCCATCCTCTTCCCTGCTGAGTACTAGAAGGGCAACACTGAGACTAAGGAGGAAAAGCTGACAGCCAGGGCCACCCCTGTAGTGGTTGCAAGTAAGAAAGCAGTCATGTGAGCGCTGGCTGAGGGCACATTGAGGTTGATGGGGTAGCACCCTATTGACCCTAGTCAGTGGGTGATTCAATATATGCTTCCATAGTTGCTTAATGGGTTAATGCAGCAAGCTGAGCACTGCATGGAGTGTAAGTCTATAGAATCATAGAGTTGGAGAGCCATAGAGAATGGGGAATTATGGAAGGGCTCCTGCAGGTTACCTAGTCCAACATCCTGCTTGCTGCAGGAGATCCAGAGCTAGAGTGATCTCAGCAGAACTCTGTCCAGCCTACACTTGAAGACCCACCATCTTTATAGGTAATTACATCATCATCCCCTTTATGATGGTCAACAAATCAGAAACCCTCTACCTAACTGGTTGGTGTTGCTAAACTTCTCTCACCAACTAGAAGCTTATCTTTCTGCAAACTTAATTGGATCTGCCCTTTGGGGCACCAGAGAACAGGCTGTTGTCCTCTTCTGGGTGATAGCCTTTCAGATATTGTTCTTTATACCCCAGCTCAGCTTTTTCTTGTCCCAGCTAAACAGACACAGTTTCTTCAAGTTTTTCCTCATATTTTTCTCACTTTTACCACCCCCCTGGCCAACTTTGTTGTACTTCTATAAACCAAGACCAATGTACTTATATGGGCACAAGATACATCCATCCCTAAATCTAACTTCTACAGCGGAGGAAGCTGAATCATTGAACACTGAATACTCTCATACTGGGATGTGAAAGCTCTGGTTATTCAGATGTGGTTGGGCTATGACTCCCATAATCTCTAAGCATTTGCAGCTGATAGGAGCTGGAGCTCAACAATGTTTGGAGGGCCACGGGTTTCACATCCAGCTGCTCAATAAGGCATCTCCCAAAGTTATTATGTGGACAAATGCAGGAAACATTGACCAGGAACAGACATCAGAAAACCATACCTATCACTGGTAACTAGGGACAATTGGGGATGATGGGCTGAGCTCTTGAGAATTAGTAATCTGTTATCATAATCTCATCGCCACGGACCACATTCTCAGCCCTTCTTAGAAGATCAGATCTTTAAAATAGGATGTCCTAGAGGAATTAGCTTTGGTATCACACAGAATTGTAAGAGAATACTATACGTTATAGCAGGGTTTTCCCAAACAGATGTATATATATATATATATGTATGTATATATATATATATATATATGTTGACTCGATTCCAGTAAATGCATTGGAATGGTTGGATTCTGCCACTTACTCCTGCCATGGAATCACTAATATATTCTGGAAGAAGACATTCTCCCTAAAAAAACTGAGTCTATCAAAACAGGGGGAACCTGTTTTGAGTCGTTGGACTCAACTCTCCGTAGTTTTGGCCAGCACGGCTAATGGCCAGGGTTATTGCGAGCTGCAGCCCAGAAAAATCTGGAGGAGTCACAGGTTGTCCCATCCTTGCAATGAACTGATGGACAATTCTGGGTGCAATCTAAGAAGAGTTTCTCTTGGAGAAGCCTCTTTGAAAATAATTCAATGTGGTGACATTGTGGAAGCTCAAAAATAGTTCCAGCGAACCTTTCTCAGACAGGATGCTTGAACTCCAATGCCTTCTATACCCAGCCTACTTTAGAATATCAGATCTTTAAAATAGCATGCCCCAGAGGAATTAGCTCTGAGATCCAACACTTAGATCATGCGGATTCAAGTCAACATGTGAAAAAACTAAGACATCTGTGAAATTGGCTTTGATGGTGGCAATCAGGCACCTGTATTCTCTTATAGTTATAATAGGCTCCTGATTTCCATCTTCAAGACTGATTTCATCTAGATGTCTTAGAGGGTGACATGACAATTTGAACAATTGGGTGTCTTTAAAATTTATGGCATCCCAGAGTCTAATATTTTGGTTTTGCATACACTTGTATGCACTCAATAAAGTGGTTCTTTTCCTACAGTCTCGCTAAAGTCACTGCGTAAGGCTAAAATTCATAGTCTACTTCTGCCAGTGCAGTTGCATAGACTTCAACAGTGCTATTGTTATGGATTTTGGATTGCATTTCTCAGAATAACCCCCCCAAAAAAAGTAGAATAAGATCTACCATTTCATTTTGATGAAGTGTCATTCACAAAACTCAGTTCAACTTTGGAAAAACAATTGCATAGTTTCTATCATTAAAGTAAAATCTAGATGGAAACTCTCAGTGAATATTTAAAAAGAGCTTGTTGCAAGTTTATAAACTATCTATTTTACTCTATTTTTGTTCATTCACAGTCAGGATTCTTAATAGCAGAATCAGTGAATCCCATCAGATGTAATCCAGTTGTATAGGAAATGCCACAACTCAAACTCAGTTTTCGAACATAATTTCCGCCCACTGGGAAAGACTGACAGAGTTTATAGAGACATTTCATTGAGGCACCCCACCACCCGAGAAGTAGGATTAAACCGATCCATCTTTGTTTCTACATGCAGCGAATAGGATTTTTTTTAACCCACTGCCTGGTTTTTAACAATTCAACAGTCCCTATGAAAGAATCAGCGTAGATATAATACGAAAAGCCCAAAAGTCAATCAAGAACCAGAGAATGAAAAGAAGGCAAAAAATGATGGAAATATTAGAATATTGCATCGGGTACAGAAAGATTCAGGATAAATTTGGTGACTTACCTGTGACAGTCAAGTGGGTTCCTCCTCCGAAGACCCACCACAGTGACACACGGCTGTACAAAAACCTGCCTCCTTCACAGGTGTGAAATGGTACAGAACCCCAGTCCATCTGGGAGGAGTAGGCAGACCTGGGACCCCCCCCCCAAATCTTGCTTGACTATGACTTCCATCATCATTGACCATTGACCATGCTGACTTGTATTGGCAGGAGCTGGGAGTCCAGTCATGTCCAGAGGGCCAAAATGTTTCCCCATTCTCGCCACAGGACATGACAGGGGGCAATAAACAATGGTATGCATTTTCTAAAAGAATATTGTACTATTTCCAAAGAAGTTGTAGGCAATGGTGCATTTCTTTTTTGAACAAACAAAACAAAACCAACCTATCTCTGGGGTGACAATGATAAGGTCCTGTTATCAAACCATGACAGTTATTTTTAAAATACCGGTACGTGACTCTTTGTAAATCTTCCTGGTTGTAGATCTTCCATTGCCCAGACAGTCTGTTCTTGGATGCAGGGAGTATGTTAGATGAAGTCCTTTATCCAACCAATTTTCCAGTGGTAGGGATGAATGGGTCAGTTTATTTCCTGTCCATGTCCATTCATAGATCCATATTCATTCATAAATCCATTTCCATTTGTAAGTCCCTTTGGTCCCCTTCCCACATTAATCTACAATTGCTATTGTTATTGAATTTGCCACAAACATGGTTAATTTTGAACGTATTTTCCCAATATACATATTTCTCTCAAATCATGCATTTCTGAAAACAGATTTGATGCTAAGATGCAGATCCTTGATTTTTTTAAGCTAAGAACTGTATCACAAAATTTGGAGAAACACAAAATCCAAAGATGACTAATTTGCACCTTAGTCCATGGGGCCAATGATCATATCAGTTTGCATCAGAATTCCCAAAGAATGAATTAGTCAGGCAACCTTACCTTTCTGGGAAACAGTAACACATCCAGTTAATGAAGAAATTGTTTCTTAGAAGAGATCACACAGACAGTGAAGTTTTATCTATGCTGCAAAAGTTTCTTATAAATTAACTCAAGGCATTGAACCGTTTCTTTGACAATACATAGGAACTTACCTGTAATGAGCAGCTAGTATGACATCTTAACCCTTTGAGAAACCATTTAAAATACCTTAAAAATAACGTTGTCAGTCTCTCCAGGGATCAGCCCTGGATTTACAGAAGCCACTCCGGTTTCTGCTTTGATCCCAGAATGTCTCCCTTTTCCTTTTGTTGTTGTTGTTTAGTCATCTTAATTGTGTTTGACTCTCCATGATCCCATGAACCAGGGCATGCCTTGGAAACTCTCACTTTCTTCTCAAAGCTACTCCTTTTTATGTCCATGGAGTTTCCTTGGCAAAATACTGGAGTGGATTGCCAGTTCCTTCTCCAGGTGGATCATATTTAGTCTAAATTCTCAGCTAAGACCTGTCCATCTTGGGTGGCCTTGCACACCATAACTCATAGCTACACTGAGTTATTCAAGCCCCTTTGCCATGACAAGGCAGTGATCCATAAAGAGGCCCCTTTTCCTTAGGACATCCCTATTTTCATCAGAGAAATGTTGAAGGGAATTGAGTTATCCAACCCGCGGTTCCATCTTATGGCAGCCTTGTATAGGGAAGGTTTTCTTTAAAAATCTTCAATGTTTTATTATGCTTTTATATATGTTGGAAGCTGCCTTGAGTAGCTGGGGCAACCCAGTCAGATGGGAAGGATATTAATAGTAAAATTACTCTTGTGGAATAGGATGTCCCTGTTTTGATTAGAGAAACGCTGGAACCTATGCTTTGTTATTTGCCTCTGCTGTGGTGGTTCTGGCTTCCATTCCCTGCCTTACACAGGCCTGGGATGTTTCTGTGGGGGTGTATTTTGATCACAGTTGCACTGTATCATGGGTTCTGTAGTCTCCTGTGGATGTCAACAGTAGGCTGATATTTTAAGCCGACACTCAGAAATTAAAGTTGGAGACCCTCTCTTATTTTGATGTATCAAAATGAAGCGGATGGTTATCTCTTTTGGGGTGGAAGGGTTTTGTCATGGAGCAGTGTGGATGTGAGAAAAACAGGGGAGGGAGAAGGCTGATGAGGGAGAAAAGATTTGTCTTCTCATTTACATGTAGAAGTGCCCACTGCTAGCAACTAATGTAGAGTTCCTCAGAGTTGCCTTCTTGTGGGCTTCCTGGAAGCATACCTGGCTGTCCCTGAAGGCCACCCGACTACCAGCTGTGGGAAACAGGATAACAGATGAGGTGGACATTTACATCAGAAGCACTAGAGATGTGAAGACCTGGGAAAAAATATGGAAAAAATTGTCCCCCTACCAATTTTTGTGGTTCTCCTTTCAATTTTGGGGGCAATAAATAGGAGGAAAGAACAACTTGGAAATATTTCTGGGGAAATGAGTTTCCTCAATTTTTCCACTTTTCTTCTTGTAGGTTTTCATATCTTTGTTCAGGAGTTACCTTTCATTCTAAAAATGGGGAAAGTGGAAGTAAGAAAGTGTTGTCCGGGAATTATTATTATTATTATTGGCCAGGATTTACATTAGCACAGTAAGCAGGTCACTTTTTTCAGTATGTCATTGTAATAATAATAATAATAATAATAATAATAATAATAATAATTTATTTATACATCACCCATCTGGCTGTGTTTTCCATTCTGGGTGGCTCCCAACAGAATATTAATAATAATAAAAGCGATAAAACATCAGACATTAAAAACTTCCCTAAAGAGGGCTGCCTTCAGATGTCTTCTAAAAGTCAGATAGTTGTTTATTTCCTTGACATCTGATGGGAGGGTGTTCCACAGGGCAGGTGCCACTACTGAGAAGGCCCTCTGCCTGGTTCCCTGTAACCTCACTTCTTGCAGGCAGGCAACCACCAGAAGGCATTTGGAGCTGGACCTCAGTGTCTGGGCTTAACGATGGGGGTGGAGACGCTCCTTCAGGTATACTGTTCTGATACCGATCATTCCACATGTCCTTCAGAAGCGGTTAGACATAATGCAGTTTTAAAAAGAATTTATCCTATTCTTCAGGGAAACCTATGACTTTCATTCACTGGAGGCTATCGGCTCTTCATATTGCCTTCCAAAAGCAATCAGAGCAGTGAAACTGATTGGGTGGAAAGTAGGGCTAGAGCCAAGTAGAGGCAGAGCCATCTGTTGAATGGTTGTACAGAAGGCAGGCAGGCTGGGTCTTCCTGAGGACACTGAGGTTGGTGGACCAGGACTCCATTTGTACCTATGGACCCAAATGGACCACTCTCCATATTGTGGCTTGAGGAAGATGGCAGGCCAGTGGCAATGTTTGGGAATGTTTGAAAGACCACCTGAAATGAATCATGGAGTGGAACGGCAACCAGAAAAAGTGAGAGCGGCAGTCAACTTCCACTGGGCAAAGGAAGCTAATTCATTTTTTAAAAAGCAATTAAAAGGGTCAATTGATCACATTAATAATACTAAAAAGGTTGCTGAGCCATTATGTAGCTCTGCTCCTCCAGCACTGGAACCTGTTTAGATAAAGCACTGCCCATTGGAAAGGATCACAGGTCACATATAGACAGTGCTTTTTCTTCCTTAAAAGAATGTTTAGGGGTACTCTCATTTTGACTCAAGAAAATCAGCATTTTATAGTTCAAATTGGGAAAAATAGACCCAGTAAATGGACAAAAGGCTGCCAACAGAACGGACGATTCACCGTTCTAGAGAAGAAACTAAATTTTTTCTTTTCCCATTAGATTCACAAAATGTTTAGGGGTATGCGTACCCCTGCATCCCCCCCAGAAAAAAGCACCTCATATAGAAAACTCTGCCTGATCTCCAGGAAAGCCACATCCCACCAGTGTAGAAAATGCCCACCTAGATGGACCACTGGGCTGACTTGGGAGAAGGCCAATTCCTACGCTTCCATGAAATCACACTGCTTTTACCACTGCTCCTATCAGCCACAGACCTGAGCTGAGTGCATTTTGGCTGAGTAACAGCACACTTCCTTCTGTAATATGACAGGAAACCATGCATACAACCTGTTTGAAGGCGATGGAATAAATGAGTGGGTAAAGAAATCACACTGGTGAAATGTATGACATTTTATTAATTTGCAAACATTATAAGCCAACGCACAAAGGAGATTCCAGGGAGAAGAGGAAGGGAGAGGGTGTGGGGAGGGGAACGACATAGGAAGGAAACCAGACTTGATGGATCAACGTAGCATTAGAGGAAATCAGAGAATAAACTTGGCCCCCTTGAACATGAAAGGACTCTTTCTTCTCAGCTGCTGGAGGCACGAGAAACTCATCAGATCCATGCAGCCTTTAGGCACAGTCCGATCTCCTCACCACCTTCTCAACGGTCTTTCCTTCATGCGTCACTTTGCAGGTGACTTCCTCCTTCCTCTCCCAGTCGGACTTTTTCATGCTGAGGTAGCTGCTGGCCGCGTACTTGTCATTCAGCTTGGTGGGCGTGGTTGTCTCCACCCCAGAGGAGATGGGGGTGCCATCAGCCTGCCAGGTAACTTGGACAACGCCTGGGTAAAAGCCATCCATGAGACACACCAGGGTGGCGCTGTCTGAGCTCTTCAGTTCTTCTGGGGATGGTGGGAAGACGTTCACTGTTGGAGGTACTGTCGGCTGACCTGGAAGTCAAGGGAAATCTGTTTAAGTGTCGTGTCTCAGGGGAATATTATATAATAGAGACATATGGGATTGCGTAATTTATTTGATTTCATAAAGGAATTGCAATCGGATCCTATTTCCTTGTTTAAAAAACAAACGCCTCTGGAAGTCATGTCTTCTAGTTTGGGAAGGCTGTCTCCCAGTCCTCAGAGTGTAGGTCCTGGTTGTGCTGTAATCAGAGCAGGACACTCTGAGTGTGTTTCAGAGGCACCCTGTTCTTCCTTTTGGACTGATATATGACACTGAGTCTAACTTACCCTCAGCAGCTCAGAAATAAGAATTGGCAGACACTCATTGGAACACCCCATTCCCACCTTAAGGATTGCTGGCCAAGCCATTCCCCTTGTTCCTCACCATTGCACATTGCTGGACAATCTGCCTGCTGGATTCATTTAATTTGTAGAAGGGTTGCTTAAATATACTCTTCTGCTTAGATATATGCTGAGAATCTGCCTTCATTACAGTGATGCCCATTGGGATTGGTGCAGCAGAAAGCAAGAGAGACCAATGTTAGGTGGAGCTGGAACCAGTGACAGGCGAAGCCAACTCATTCTAATTTTGTCCCCATCCTCTTCCCTGCTGAGTACTAGAAGGGCAACACTGAGACTAAGGAGGAAAAGCTGACAGCCAGGGCCACCCCTGTAGTGGTTGCAAGTAAGAAAGCAGTCATGTGAGCGCTGGCTGAGGGCACATTGAGGTTGATGGGGTAGCACCCTATTGACCCTAGTCAGTGGGTGATTCAATATATGCTTCCATAGTTGCTTAATGGGTTAATGCAGCAAGCTGAGCACTGCATGGAGTGTAAGTCTATAGAATCATAGAGTTGGAGAGCCATAGAGAATGGGGAATTATGGAAGGGCTCCTGCAGGTTACCTAGTCCAACATCCTGCTTGCTGCAGGAGATCCAGAGCTAGAGTGATCTCAGCAGAACTCTGTCCAGCCTACACTTGAAGACCCACCATCTTTATAGGTAATTACATCATCATCCCCTTTATGATGGTCAACAAATCAGAAACCCTCTACCTAACTGGTTGGTGTTGCTAAACTTCTCTCACCAACTAGAAGCTTATCTTTCTGCAAACTTAATTGGATCTGCCCTTTGGGGCACCAGAGAACAGGCTGTTGTCCTCTTCTGGGTGATAGCCTTTCAGATATTGTTCTTTATACCCCAGCTCAGCTTTTTCTTGTCCCAGCTAAACAGACACAGTTTCTTCAAGTTTTTCCTCATATTTTTCTCACTTTTACCACCCCCCCTGGCCAACTTTGTTGTACTTCTATAAACCAAGACCAATGTACTTATATGGGCACAAGATACATCCATCCCTAAATCTAACTTCTACAGCGGAGGAAGCTGAATCATTGAACACTGAATACTCTCATACTGGGATGTGAAAGCTCTGGTTATTCAGATGTGGTTGGGCTATGACTCCCATAATCTCTAAGCATTTGCAGCTGATAGGAGCTGGAGCTCAACAATGTTTGGAGGGCCACGGGTTTCACATCCAGCTGCTCAATAAGGCATCTCCCAAAGTTATTATGTGGACAAATGCAGGAAACATTGACCAGGAACAGACATCAGAAAACCATACCTATCACTGGTAACTAGGGACAATTGGGGATGATGGGCTGAGCTCTTGAGAATTAGTAATCTGTTATCATAATCTCATCGCCACGGACCACATTCTCAGCCCTTCTTAGAAGATCAGATCTTTAAAATAGGATGTCCTAGAGGAATTAGCTTTGGTATCACACAGAATTGTAAGAGAATACTATACGTTATAGCAGGGTTTTCCCAAACAGATGTGTGTGTATATATATATATATATATATATATATATATATATATATATATATATGTTGACTCGATTCCAGTAAATGCATTGGAATGGTTGGATTCTGCCACTTACTCCTGCCATGGAATCACTAATATATTCTGGAAGAAGACATTCTCCCTAAAAAAAACTGAGTCTATCAAAACAGGGGGAACCTGTTTTGAGTCGTTGGACTCAACTCTCCGTAGTTTTGGCCAGCACGGCTAATGGCCAGGGTTATTGCGAGCTGCAGCCCAGAAAAATCTGGAGGAGTCACAGGTTGTCCCATCCTTGCAATGAACTGATGGACAATTCTGGGTGCAATCTAAGAAGAGTTTCTCTTGGAGAAGCCTCTTTGAAAATAATTCAATGTGGTGACATTGTGGAAGCTCAAAAATAGTTCCAGCGAACCTTTCTCAGAAAGGATGCTTGAACTCCAATGCCTTCTATACCCAGCCTACTTTAGAATATCAGATCTTTAAAATAGCATGCCCCAGAGGAATTAGCTCTGAGATCCAACACTTAGATCATGCGGATTCAAGTCAACATGTGAAAAAACTAATACATCTGTGAAACTGGCTTTGATGGTGGCAACCAGGCACCTGTATTCTCTTATAGTTATAATAGGCTCCTGATTTCCATCTTCAAGACTGATTTCATCTAGATGTCTTAGAGGGTGACATGACAATTTGAACAATTGGGTGTCTTTAAAATTTATGGCATCCCAGAGTCTAATATTTTGGTTTTGCATACACTTGTATGCACTCAATAAAGTGGTTCTTTTCCTACAATCTCGCTAAAGTCACTGCGTAAGGCTAAAATTCATAGTCTACTTCTGCCAGTGCAGTTGCATAGACTTCAACAGTGCTATTGTTATGGATTTTGGATTGCATTTCTCAGAATAACCCCCCCCCCCAAAAAAAGTAGAATAAGATCTACCATTTCATTTTGATGAAGTGTCATTCACAAAACTCAGTTCAACTTTGGAAAAACAATTGCATAGTTTCTATCATTAAAGTAAAATCTAGATGGAAACTCTCAGTGAATATTTAAAAAGAGCTTGTTGCAAGTTTATAAACTATCTATTTTACTCTATTTTTGTTCATTCACAGTCAGGATTCTTAATAGCAGAATCAGTGAATCCCATCAGATGTAATCCAGTTGTATAGGAAATGCCACAACTCAAACTCAGTTTTCGAACATAATTTCCGCCCACTGGGAAAGACTGACAGAGTTTATAGAGACATTTCATTGAGGCACCCCACCACCCGAGAAGTAGGATTAAACCGATCCATCTTTGTTTCTACATGCAGCGAATAGGATTTTTTTTAACCCACTGCCTGGTTTTTTAACAATTCAACAGTCCCTATGAAAGAATCAGCGTAGATATAATACGAAAAGCCCAAAAGTCAATCAAGAACCAGAGAATGAAAAGAAGGCAAAAAATGATGGAAATATTAGAATATTGCATCGGGTACAGAAAGATTCAGGATAAATTTGGTGACTTACCTGTGACAGTCAAGTGGGTTCCTCCTCCGAAGACCCACCACAGTGACACACGGCTGTACAAAAACCTGCCTCCTTCACAGGTGTGAAATGGTACAGAACCCCAGTCCATCTGGGAGGAGTAGGCAGACCTGGGACCCCCTCCCCAAATCTTGCTTGACTATGACTTCCATCATCATTGACCATTGACCATGCTGACTTGTATTGGCAGGAGCTGGGAGTCCAGTCATGTCCAGAGGGCCAAAATGTTTCCCCATTCTCGCCACAGGACATGACAGGGGGCAATAAAGAATGGTATGCATTTTCTAAAAGAATATTGTACTGTTTCCAAAGAAGTTGTAGGCAATGGTGCATTTCTTTTTTGAAAACAAAACAAAACAAACCTATCTCTGGGGTGACAATGATAAGGTCCTGTTATCAAACCATGACAGTTATTTTTAAAATACCGGTACGTGACTCTTTGTAAATCTTCCTGGTTGTAGATCTTCCATTGCCCAGACAGTCTGTTCTTGGATGCAGGGAGTATGTTAGATGAAGTCCTTTATCCAACCAATTTTCCAGTGGTAGGGATGAATGGGTCAGTTTATTTCCTGTCCATGTCCATTCATAGATCCATATTCATTCATAAATCCATTTCCATTTGTAAGTCCCTTTGGTCCCCTTCCCACATTAATCTACAATTGCTATTGTTATTGAATTTGCCACAAACATGGTTAATTTTGAACGTATTTTTTCCAATATACATATTTCTCTCAAATCATGCATTTCTGAAAACAGATTTGATGCTAAGATGCAGATCCTTGATTTTTTTAAGCTAAGAACTGTATCACAAAATTTGGAGAAACACAAAATCCAAAGATGACTAATTTGCACCTTAGTCCATGGGGCCAATGATCATATCAGTTTGCATCAGAATTCCCAAAGAATGAATTAGTCAGGCAACCTTACCTTTCTGGGAAACAGTAACACATCCAGTTAATGAAGAAATTGTTTCTTAGAAGAGATCACACAGACAGTGAAGTTTTATCTATGCTGCAAAAGTTTCTTATAAATTAACTCAAGGCATTGAACCGTTTCTTTGACAATACATAGGAACTTACCTGTAATGAGCAGCTAGTATGACATCTTAACCCTTTGAGAAACCATTTAAAATACCTTAAAAATAACGTTGTCAGTCTCTCCAGGGATCAGCCCTGGATTTACAGAAGCCACTCCGGTTTCTGCTTTGATCCCAGAATGTCTCCCTTTTCCTTTTGTTGTTGTTGTTTAGTCATCTTAATTGTGTTTGACTCTCCATGATCCCATGAACCAGGGCATGCCTTGGAAACTCTCACTTTCTTCTCAAAGCTACTCCTTTTTATGTCCATGGAGTTTCCTTGGCAAAATACTGGAGTGGATTGCCAGTTCCTTCTCCAGGTGGATCATATTTAGTCTAAATTCTCAGCTAAGACCTGTCCATCTTGGGTGGCCTTGCACACCATAACTCATAGCTACACTGAGTTATTCAAGCCCCTTTGCCATGACAAGGCAGTGATCCATAAAGAGGCCCCTTTTCCTTAGGACATCCCTATTTTCATCAGAGAAATGTTGAAGGGAATTGAGTTATCCAACCCGCGGTTCCATCTTATGGCAGCCTTGTATAGGGAAGGTTTTCTTTAAAAATCTTCAATGTTTTATTATGCTTTTATATATGTTGGAAGCTGCCTTGAGTAGCTGGGGCAACCCAGTCAGATGGGAAGGATATTAATAGTAAAATTACTCTTGTGGAATAGGATGTCCCTGTTTTGATTAGAGAAACGCTGGAACCTATGCTTTGTTATTTGCCTCTGCTGTGGTGGTTCTGGCTTCCATTCCCTGCCTTACACAGGCCTGGGATGTTTCTGTGGGGGTGTATTTTGATCACAGTTGCACTGTATCATGGGTTCTGTAGTCTCCTGTGGATGTCAACAGTAGGCTGATATTTTAAGCCGACACTCAGAAATTAAAGTTGGAGACCCTCTCTTATTTTGATGTATCAAAATGAAGCGGATGGTTATCTCTTTTGGGGTGGAAGGGTTTTGTCATGGAGCAGTGTGGATGTGAGAAAAACAGGGGAGGGAGAAGGCTGATGAGGGAGAAAAGATTTGTCTTCTCATTTACATGTAGAAGTGCCCACTGCTAGCAACTAATGTAGAGTTCCTCAGAGTTGCCTTCTTGTGGGCTTCCTGGAAGCATACCTGGCTGTCCCTGAAGGCCACCCGACTACCAGCTGTGGGAAACAGGATAACAGATGAGGTGGACATTTACATCAGAAGCACTAGAGATGTGAAGACCTGGGAAAAAATATGGAAAAAATTGTCCCCCTACCAATTTTTGTGGTTCTCCTTTCAATTTTGGGGGCAATAAATAGGAGGAAAGAACAACTTGGAAATATTTCTGGGGAAATGAGTTTCCTCAATTTTTCCACTTTTCTTCTTGTAGGTTTTCATATCTTTGTTCAGGAGTTACCTTTCATTCTAAAAATGGGGAAAGTGGAAGTAAGAAAGTGTTGTCCGGGAATTATTATTATTATTATTATTAGCCAGGATTTACATTTGCACAGTAAGCAGGTCACTTTTTTCAGTATGTCATTGTAATAATAATAATAATAATAATAATAATAATAATAATAATTTATTTATACATCACCCATCTGGCTGTGTTTTCCATTCTGGGTGGCTCCCAACAGAATATTAATAATAATAAAAGCGATAAAATATCAGACATTAAGAACTTCCCTAAAGAGGGCTGCCTTCAGATGTCTTCTAAAAGTCAGATAGTTGTTTATTTCCTTGACATCTGATGGGAGGGTGTTCCACAGGGCAGGTGCCACTACTGAGAAGGCCCTCTGCCTGGTTCCCTGTAACCTCACTTCTTGCAGGCAGGCAACCACCAGAAGGCATTTGGAGCTGGACCTCAGTGTCTGGGCTTAACGATGGGGGTGGAGACGCTCCTTCAGGTATACTGTTCTGATACCGATCATTCCACATGTCCTTCAGAAGCGGTTAGACATAATGCAGTTTTAAAAAGAATTTATCCTATTCTTCAGGGAAACCTATGACTTTCATTCACTGGAGGCTATCGGCTCTTCATATTGCCTTCCAAAAGCAATCAGAGCAGTGAAACTGATTGGGTGGAAAGTAGGGCTAGAGCCAAGTAGAGGCAGAGCCATCTGTTGAATGGTTGTACAGAAGGCAGGCAGGCTGGGTCTTCCTGAGGACACTGAGGTTGGTGGACCAGGACTCCATTTGTACCTATGGACCCAAATGGACCACTCTCCATATTGTGGCTTGAGGAAGATGGCAGGCCAGTGGCAATGTTTGGGAATGTTTGAAAGACCACCTGAAATGAATCATGGAGTGGAACGGCAACCAGAAAAAGTGAGAGCGGCAGTCAACTTCCACTGGGCAAAGGAAGCTAATTCATTTTTTTTAAAAGCAATTAAAAGGGTCAATTGATCACATTAATAATACTAAAAAGGTTGCTGAGCCATTATGTAGCTCTGCTCCTCCAGCACTGGAACCTGTTTAGATAAAGCACTGCCCATTGGAAAGGATCACAGGTCACATATAGACAGTGCTTTTTCTTCCTTAAAAGAATGTTTAGGGGTACTCTCATTTTGACTCAAGAAAATCAGCATTTTATAGTTCAAATTGGGAAAAATAGACCCAGTAAATGGACAAAAGGCTGCCAACAGAACGGACGATTCACCGTTCTAGAGAAGAAACTAAATTTTTTCTTTTCCCATTAGATTCACAAAATGTTTAGGGGTATGCGTACCCCTGCATCCCCCCCAGAAAAAAGCACCTCATATAGAAAACTCTGCCTGATCTCCAGGAAAGCCACATCCCACCAGTGTAGAAAATGCCCACCTAGATGGACCACTGGGCTGACTTGGGAGAAGGCCAATTCCTACGCTTCCATGAAATCACACTGCTTTTACCACTGCTCCTATCAGCCACAGACCTGAGCTGAGTGCATTTTGGCTGAGTAACAGCACACTTCCTTCTGTAATATGACAGGAAACCATGCATACAACCTGTTTGAAGGCGATGGAATAAATGAGTGGGTAAAGAAATCACACTGGTGAAATGTATGACATTTTATTAATTTGCAAACATTATAAGCCAACGCACAAAGGAGATTCCAGGGAGAAGAGGAAGGGAGAGGGTGTGGGGAGGGGAACGACATAGGAAGGAAACCAGACTTGATGGATCAACGTAGCATTAGAGGAAATCAGAGAATAAACTTGGCCCCCTTGAACATGAAAGGACTCTTTCTTCTCAGCTGCTGGAGGCACGAGAAACTCATCAGATCCATGCAGCCTTTAGGCACAGTCCGATCTCCTCACCACCTTCTCAACGGTCTTTCCTTCATGCGTCACTTTGCAGGTGACTTCCTCCTTCCTCTCCCAGTCGGACTTTTTCATGCTGAGGTAGCTGCTGGCCGCGTACTTGTCATTCAGCTTGGTGGGCGTGGTTGTCTCCACCCCAGAGGAGATGGGGGTGCCATCAGCCTGCCAGGTAACTTGGACAACGCCTGGGTAAAAGCCATCCATGAGACACACCAGGGTGGCGCTGTCTGAGCTCTTCAGTTCTTCTGGGGATGGTGGGAAGACGTTCACTGTTGGAGGTACTGTTGGCTGACCTGGAAGTCAAGGGGAAATCTGGTTAAGTGTCGTGTCTCAGGGGAATATTATATAATAGAGACATATGGGATTGCGTAATTTATTTGATTTCATAAAGGAATTGCAATCGGATCCTATTTCCTTGTTTAAAAAACAAACGCCTCTGGAAGTCATGTCTTCTAGTTTGGGAAGGCTGTCTCCCAGTCCTCAGAGTGTAGGTCCTGGTTGTGCTGTAATCAGAGCAGGACACTCTGAGTGTGTTTCAGAGGCACCCTGTTCTTCCTTTTGGACTGATATATGACACTGAGTCTAACTTACCCTCAGCAGCTCAGAAATAAGAATTGGCAGACACTCATTGGAACACCCCATTCCCACCTTAAGGATTGCTGGCCAAGCCATTCCCCTTGTTCCTCACCATTGCACATTGCTGGACAATCTGCCTGCTGGATTCATTTAATTTGTAGAAGGGTTGCTTAAATATACTCTTCTGCTTAGATATATGCTGAGAATCTGCCTTCATTACAGTGATGCCCATTGGGATTGGTGCAGCAGAAAGCAAGAGAGACCAATGTTAGGTGGAGCTGGAACCAGTGACAGGCGAAGCCAACTCATTCTAATTTTGTCCCCATCCTCTTCCCTGCTGAGTACTAGAAGGGCAACACTGAGACTAAGGAGGAAAAGCTGACAGCCAGGGCCACCCCTGTAGTGGTTGCAAGTAAGAAAGCAGTCATGTGAGCGCTGGCTGAGGGCACATTGAGGTTGATGGGGTAGCACCCTATTGACCCTAGTCAGTGGGTGATTCAATATATGCTTCCATAGTTGCTTAATGGGTTAATGCAGCAAGCTGAGCACTGCATGGAGTGTAAGTCTATAGAATCATAGAGTTGGAGAGCCATAGAGAATGGGGAATTATGGAAGGGCTCCTGCAGGTTACCTAGTCCAACATCCTGCTTGCTGCAGGAGATCCAGAGCTAGAGTGATCTCAGCAGAACTCTGTCCAGCCTACACTTGAAGACCCACCATCTTTATAGGTAATTACATCATCATCCCCTTTATGATGGTCAACAAATCAGAAACCCTCTACCTAACTGGTTGGTGTTGCTAAACTTCTCTCACCAACTAGAAGCTTATCTTTCTGCAAACTTAATTGGATCTGCCCTTTGGGGCACCAGAGAACAGGCTGTTGTCCTCTTCTGGGTGATAGCCTTTCAGATATTGTTCTTTATACCCCAGCTCAGCTTTTTCTTGTCCCAGCTAAACAGACACAGTTTCTTCAAGTTTTTCCTCATATTTTTCTCACTTTTACCACCCCCCTGGCCAACTTTGTTGTACTTCTATAAACCAAGACCAATGTACTTATATGGGCACAAGATACATCCATCCCTAAATCTAACTTCTACAGCGGAGGAAGCTGAATCATTGAACACTGAATACTCTCATACTGGGATGTGAAAGCTCTGGTTATTCAGATGTGGTTGGGCTATGACTCCCATAATCTCTAAGCATTTGCAGCTGATAGGAGCTGGAGCTCAACAATGTTTGGAGGGCCACGGGTTTCACATCCAGCTGCTCAATAAGGCATCTCCCAAAGTTATTATGTGGACAAATGCAGGAAACATTGACCAGGAACAGACATCAGAAAACCATACCTATCACTGGTAACTAGGGACAATTGGGGATGATGGGCTGAGCTCTTGAGAATTAGTAATCTGTTATCATAATCTCATCGCCACGGACCACATTCTCAGCCCTTCTTAGAAGATCAGATCTTTAAAATAGGATGTCCTAGAGGAATTAGCTTTGGTATCACACAGAATTGTAAGAGAATACTATACGTTATAGCAGGGTTTTCCCAAACAGATGTATATATATATATATATATATATATATATATATATATATATATATATATATATATATGTTGACTCGATTCCAGTAAATGCATTGGAATGGTTGGATTCTGCCACTTACTCCTGCCATGGAATCACTAATATATTCTGGAAGAAGACATTCTCCCTAAAAAAACCTGAGTCTATCAAAACAGGGGGAACCTGTTTTGAGTCGTTGGACTCAACTCTCCGTAGTTTTGGCCAGCACGGCTAATGGCCAGGGTTATTGCGAGCTGCAGCCCAGAAAAATCTGGAGGAGTCACAGGTTGTCCCATCCTTGCAATGAACTGATGGACAATTCTGGGTGCAATCTAAGAAGAGTTTCTCTTGGAGAAGCCTCTTTGAAAATAATTCAATGTGGTGACATTGTGGAAGCTCAAAAATAGTTCCAGCGAACCTTTCTCAGAAAGCATGCTTGGACTCCAATGCCTTCTATACCCAGCCTACTTTAGAATATCAGATCTTTAAAATAGCATGCCCCAGAGGAATTAGCTCTGAGATCCAACACTTAGATCATGCGGATTCAAGTCAACATGTGAAAAAACTAATACATCTGTGAAACTGGCTTTGATGGTGGCAACCAGGCACCTGTATTCTCTTATAGTTATAATAGGCTCCTGATTTCCATCTTCAAGACTGATTTCATCTAGATGTCTTAGAGGGTGACATGACAATTTGAACAATTGGGTGTCTTTAAAATTTATGGCATCCCAGAGTCTAATATTTTGGTTTTGCATACACTTGTATGCACTCAATAAAGTGGTTCTTTTCCTACAGTCTCGCTAAAGTCACTGCGTAAGGCTAAAATTCATAGTCTACTTCTGCCAGTGCAGTTGCATAGACTTCAACAGTGCTATTGTTATGGATTTTGGATTGCATTTCTCAGAATAACCCCCCCCCAAAAAAAAGTAGAATAAGATCTACCATTTCATTTTGATGAAGTGTCATTCACAAAACTCAGTTCAACTTTGGAAAAACAATTGCATAGTTTCTATCATTAAAGTAAAATCTAGATGGAAACTCTCAGTGAATATTTAAAAAGAGCTTGTTGCAAGTTTATAAACTATCTATTTTACTCTATTTTTGTTCATTCACAGTCAGGATTCTTAATAGCAGAATCAGTGAATCCCATCAGATGTAATCCAGTTGTATAGGAAATGCCACAACTCAAACTCAGTTTTCGAACATAATTTCCGCCCACTGGGAAAGACTGACAGAGTTTATAGAGACATTTCATTGAGGCACCCCACCACCCGAGAAGTAGGATTAAACCGATCCATCTTTGTTTCTACATGCAGCGAATAGGATTTTTTTTAACCCACTGCCTGGGTTTTTAACAAGTCCATAGTCCCTATGAAAGAATCAGCGTAGATATAATACGAAAAGCCCAAAAGTCAATCAAGAACCAGAGAATGAAAAGAAGGCAGAAAATGATGGAAATATTAGAATATTGCATCGGGTACAGAAAGATTCAGGATAAATTTGGTGACTTACCTGTGACAGTCAAGTGGGTTCCTCCTCCGAAGACCCACCACAGTGACACACGGCTGTACAAAAACCTGCCTCCTTCACAGGTGTGAAATGGTACAGAACCCCAGTCCATCTGGGAGGAGTAGGCAGACCTGGGACCCCCCCCCCAAATCTTGCTTGACTATGACTTCCATCATCATTGACCATTGACCATGCTGACTTGTATTGGCAGGAGCTGGGAGTCCAGTCATGTCCAGAGGGCCAAAATGTTTCCCCATTCTCGCCACAGGACATGACAGGGGGCAATAAACAATGGTATGCATTTTCTAAAAGAATATTGTACTGTTTCCAAAGAAGTTGTAGGCAATGGTGCATTTCTTTTTTGAAAAAACAAACAAACAAACCTATCTCTGGGGTGACAATGATAAGGTCCTGTTATCAAACCATGACAGTTATTTTTAAAATACCGGTACGTGACTCTTTGTAAATCTTCCTGGTTGTAGATCTTCCATTGCCCAGACAGTCTGTTCTTGGATGCAGGGAGTATGTTAGATGAAGTCCTTTATCCAACCAATTTTCCAGTGGTAGGGATGAATGGGTCAGTTTATTTCCTGTCCATGTCCATTCATAGATCCATATTCATTCATAAATCCATTTCCATTTGTAAGTCCCTTTGGTCCCCTTCCCACATTAATCTACAATTGCTATTGTTATTGAATTTGCCACAAACATGGTTAATTTTGAACGTATTTTTCCAATATACATATTTCTCTCAAATCATGCATTTCTGAAAACAGATTTGATGCTAAGATGCAGATCCTTGATTTTTTTAAGCTAAGAACTGTATCACAAAATTTGGAGAAAGACAAAATCCAAAGATGACTAATTTGCACCTTAGTCCATGGGGCCAATGATCATATCAGTTTGCATCAGAATTCCCAAAGAATGAATTAGTCAGGCAACCTTACCTTTCTGGGAAACAGTAACACATCCAGTTAATGAAGAAATTGTTTCTTAGAAGAGATCACACAGACAGTGAAGTTTTATCTATGCTGCAAAAGTTTCTTATAAATTAACTCAAGGCATTGAACCGTTTCTTTGACAATACATAGGAACTTACCTGTAATGAGCAGCTAGTATGACATCTTAACCCTTTGAGAAACCATTTAAAATACCTTAAAAATAACGTTGTCAGTCTCTCCAGGGATCAGCCCTGGATTTACAGAAGCCACTCCGGTTTCTGCTTTGATCCCAGAATGTCTCCCTTTTCCTTTTGTTGTTGTTGTTTAGTCATCTTAATTGTGTTTGACTCTCCATGATCCCATGAACCAGGGCATGCCTTGGAAACTCTCACTTTCTTCTCAAAGCTACTCCTTTTTTATGTCCATGGAGTTTCCTTGGCAAAATACTGGAGTGGATTGCCAGTTCCTTCTCCAGGTGGATCATATTTAGTCTAAATTCTCAGCTAAGACCTGTCCATCTTGGGTGGCCTTGCACACCATAACTCATAGCTACACTGAGTTATTCAAGCCCCTTTGCCATGACAAGGCAGTGATCCATAAAGAGGCCCCTTTTCCTTAGGACATCCCTATTTTCATCAGAGAAATGTTGAAGGGAATTGAGTTATCCAACCCGCGGTTCCATCTTATGGCAGCCTTGTATAGGGAAGGTTTTCTTTAAAAAATCTTCAATGTTTTATTATGCTTTTATATATGTTGGAAGCTGCCTTGAGTAGCTGGGGCAACCCAGTCAGATGGGAAGGATATTAATAGTAAAATTACTCTTGTGGAATAGGATGTCCCTGTTTTGATTAGAGAAACGCTGGAACCTATGCTTTGTTATTTGCCTCTGCTGTGGTGGTTCTGGCTTCCATTCCCTGCCTTACACAGGCCTGGGATGTTTCTGTGGGGGTGTATTTTGATCACAGTTGCACTGTATCATGGGTTCTGTAGTCTCCTGTGGATGTCAACAGTAGGCTGATATTTTAAGCCGACACTCAGAAATTAAAGTTGGAGACCCTCTCTTATTTTGATGTATCAAAATGAAGCGGATGGTTATCTCTTTTGGGGTGGAAGGGTTTTGTCATGGAGCAGTGTGGATGTGAGAAAAACAGGGGAGGGAGAAGGCTGATGAGGGAGAAAATATTTGTCTTCTCATTTACATGTAGAAGTGCCCACTGCTAGCAACTAATGTAGAGTTCCTCAGAGTTGCCTTCTTGTGGGCTTCCTGGAAGCATACCTGGCTGTCCCTGAAGGCCACCCGACTACCAGCTGTGGGAAACAGGATAACAGATGAGGTGGACATTTACATCAGAAGCACTAGAGATGTGAAGACCTGGGAAAAAATATGGAAAAAATTGTCCCCCTACCAATTTTTGTGGTTCTCCTTTCAATTTTGGGGGCAATAAATAGGAGGAAAGAACAACTTGGAAATATTTCTGTGGAATGAGTTTCCTCAATTTTTCCACTTTTCTTCTTGTAGGTTTTCATATCTTTGTTCAGGAGTTACCTTTCATTCTAAAAATGGGGAAAGTGGAAGTAAGAAAGTGTTGTCCGGGAATTATTATTATTATTATTATTATTAGCCAGGATTTACATTAGCACAGTAAGCAGGTCACTTTTTTCAGTATGTCATTGTAATAATAATAATAATAATAATAATAATAATAATAATAATAATTTATTTATACATCACCCATCTGGCTGTGTTTTCCATTCTGGGTGGCTCCCAACAGAATATTAATAATAATAAAAGCGATAAAATATCAGACATTAAGAACTTCCCTAAAGAGGGCTGCCTTCAGATGTCTTCTAAAAGTCAGATAGTTGTTTATTTCCTTGACATCTGATGGGAGGGTGTTCCACAGGGCAGGTGCCACTACTGAGAAGGCCCTCTGCCTGGTTCCCTGTAACCTCACTTCTTGCAGGCAGGCAACCACCAGAAGGCATTTGGAGCTGGACCTCAGTGTCTGGGCTTAACGATGGGGGTGGAGACGCTCCTTCAGGTATACTGTTCTGATACCGATCATTCCACATGTCCTTCAGAAGCGGTTAGACATAATGCAGTTTTAAAAAGAATTTATCCTATTCTTCAGGGAAACCTATGACTTTCATTCACTGGAGGCTATCGGCTCTTCATATTGCCTTCCAAAAGCAATCAGAGCAGTGAAACTGATTGGGTGGAAAGTAGGGCTAGAGCCAAGTAGAGGCAGAGCCATCTGTTGAATGGTTGTACAGAAGGCAGGCAGGCTGGGTCTTCCTGAGGACACTGAGGTTGGTGGACCAGGACTCCATTTGTACCTATGGACCCAAATGGACCACTCTCCATATTGTGGCTTGAGGAAGATGGCAGGCCAGTGGCAATGTTTGGGAATGTTTGAAAGACCACCTGAAATGAATCATGGAGTGGAACGGCAACCAGAAAAAGTGAGAGCGGCAGTCAACTTCCACTGGGCAAAGGAAGCTAATTCATTTTTTAAAAAAGCAATTAAAAGGGTCAATTGATCACATTAATAATACTAAAAAGGTTGCTGAGCCATTATGTAGCTCTGCTCCTCCAGCACTGGAACCTGTTTAGATAAAGCACTGCCCATTGGAAAGGATCACAGGTCACATATAGACAGTGCTTTTTCTTCCTTAAAAGAATGTTTAGGGGTACTCTCATTTTGACTCAAGAAAATCAGCATTTTATAGTTCAAATTGGGAAAAATAGACCCAGTAAATGGACAAAAGGCTGCCAACAGAACGGACGATTCACCGTTCTAGAGAAGAAACTAAATTTTTTCTTTTCCCATTAGATTCACAAAATGTTTAGGGGTATGCGTACCCCTGCATCCCCCCCAGAAAAAAGCACCTCATATAGAAAACTCTGCCTGATCTCCAGGAAAGCCACAGCCCACCAGTGTAGAAAATGCCCACCTTGATGGACCACTGGGCTGACTTGGGAGAAGGCCAATTCCTACATTCCCTGAAATCGCACTGCTTTTACCACTGCTCCTATCAGCCACAGACCTGAGTTGAGTGTATTTTGGCAGAGTAACAGCACACTTCCTTCTATAATATAACAGGAAACCATGAATACAGCTTGCTTGAAGGAGATGGAATGAAGAAGTGGGTCAAGAAATCACACCGGTGAAATGTATGACATTTTATTAATTTGCTAACATTATAAGCCAACACACAAAGGAGATTCCAGGGAGGAGAGGAAGGGAGGAGGTGTGGGGAGGGGAACGACATAGGAAGGAAACCAGACTTGATGGATCAACGTAGCATTAGAGGAAATCAGAGAATAAACTTGGCCCCCTTGAACATGAAAGGACTCTTTCTTCTCAGCTGCTGGAGGCACGAGAAACTCATCAGATCCATCCAGCCTTTAGGCACAGTCCGATCTCCTCACCACCTTCTCAACGGTCTTTCCTTCATGCGTCACTTTGCAGGTGACTTCCTCCTTCCTCTCCCAGTCGGACTTTTTCATGCTGAGGTAGCTGCTGGCCGCGTACTTGTCATTCAGCTTGGTGGGCGTGGTTGTCTCCACCCCAGAGGAGATGGGGTGCCATCAGCCTGCCAGGTAACTTGGACAACGCCTGGGTAAAAGCCATCCATGAGACACACCAGGGTGGCGCTGTCTGAGCTCTTCAGTTCTTCTGGGGATGGTGGGAAGACGTTCACTGTTGGAGTTACTGTTGGCTGACCTGGAAGTCAAGGGGAAATTTGGTTAAGTGTCGTGTCTCAGGGGAGTATTAAATATTTGACACATGTAATAAGTTATTTGATTTCATAAAGGAAGCACTATCTGACCCAGTTCTCCAATGTAGTGTGCTGAAATGTTTTGGAAGGACCTGTTACTAATTGGTAGCTATACTTTGAGCTGGAAGTGTCCTACAAGATGTCTTACAGCTCTTTATGATTCTATGAAAAAGGTCCAGGAGAACCAGGTCGTATTCCTTTATAGCAACCCAAAATGTTGTCATGCAAGAAACACATGATTCAAGCCATGCAAAATATATTATGGTCTATGAAGCAGCACAGGCATTCTTGGCATGACTGAACTGTGGTGATCTGTGAGAGGAAGAGTTTAGACTGCATCAGTCCAGTTAGGAATATCCACATCTAGAATGCCATAGACACTAGAGAGCTGCTGTCAACTTTTACACATCATTTGGGAAGACAGGCCCGTGTACTGGAAGAAGCAAAGTTGTACTGATCATGTTGTGCTGATGCCTGATTTTTGTCTTCCAAAGCAACTACAGTGGTACCTCTACTTACGTTGGCCTCCGGTTACATATCCTTTGGGATATGTACGTGGCAAACCCAGAAGTATTTTTCCGGGTTTCACCGTGCGTGCATGCGCAGAAGCACTAAACGGTGCCACGCACATGCGCAGTAGCTGCACCTCCGGTTGCGAATTCTTTGGGATCCAACCATTTGCAGCTGGAGGTACCACTGTACTCTATTCTGAACTTAAAAATGGGAAGTGCAATGCTGGTGGTCAACAAAAGAGATTTAAAGACTCTCAAGGCAAATCTAAAAAAATATAGTACAGTGGTACCTTGGGTTAAGAACTTCTGGAGGTCTGTTCTTCGTTCTGGAGGTCTGTTCTTAACCTGAAACTCTTCTTAACCTGAAGCACCAGTTTAGCTAATGGGGTCTCCTGCTGCCGCTGCACCGCTGCTGCACAATTTCTGTTCTAATCCTGAAGCAAAGTTCTTAACCCGAGGTACTATTTTGGGGTTAGCGGAGTCTGTAACCTGAAGTGTATGTAACCTAAAGCGTATGTAACCCGAGGTACCACTGTATAATAACTGACAACTGGGAAGCACTGGCCTGCGAGCACTCCACTTGGAGAACAGCTTTTACCAAAGGTGTTGTGAACTTTGAAGATGCTCAAACTCAGAACGAAAGGGAGAAACATGCTATGAGGAAGGCACGTTCAGCAAACCCTCACCATGACCAACGCCCACCCGGAAACCCATGTCTCCACTGTGCAAGGACATGTGGATCCAGAATCGGCCCCCATAGTCACTTACAGAATCACTTTTAAAACTGTGTTTATGGAAGACAATCTTACTCGGCCAAAGAAGGAAGAAAGCTGTTCAGATCTCCCTATCCCATAACTGCAAGTTCTGCCAGTCAGCATAAAGCAGGGATGTGGAATCTGTGTCTCTCTAATCGGTGACAGCCCCATTAAGCATGGCCAGGCCTGATGTGATTTCTGGTGTCACAGCATCCGGGCAAAGGTAGAGGGTTGCTGTGTTACCCCATCCCTGACATGGTCAGGAGTGGACAAGATCAATGCACAATTTGGACTGGTCACTGGTTCTTAAGCACAGTGGTACCTCAGGTTACATACGCTTCAGGTTACATACGCTTCAGGTTACAGATTCCGCTAACCCAGAAATATTACCTCGGGTTAAGTACTTTGCTTCAGAGAACTTTGAGAACGGAAATTGTGCTCTGGCGGCACGGCAGCAGCAGGAGGCCTCATTAGCTAAGCTGGTGCTTCAGGTTAAGAACAGTTTCAGGTTAAGTACGGACCTCCGGAACGAATTAAGTACTTAACCTGAGGTACCACTGTACAAAGGATTGTTCAAAATTACGAGTTCTTCTGGGGAAATGACCCACATGTTTATACTGACTGCCATAGCAAAGGAGAGATCATTAAAGCAGCCTGTTTGCTCTCAGAGGGGGTGAACTTTCATTGCACATAAATATTTTAAAGTCAATCAGATGAGCCCTTCTGGATCAGGCGAGAAGCCCATCTGCTTGGGACACTGTGCTCATAGCGGTCAACCTGATGTCTATTGCAAGCTTGCAGAAAGATTCCGAGAGCAACAGCCCTCTCTGTGCTTTTGATCCATGGCAACGGGTATTGCAAAATGGCCTCAAAGAGCATCAGAAAATAAGAGGTCTGCTGGATCAGGGTTGCAATGGCCCATCTAGACTTCCATTCTGCTCTCACAGTGATCAACTGGGTGTCTATGGGAAGCTCACAAGCATGAACAGAGTGTAGCAGCACTCTGCCCATTGGGGAGTCCAAGCAACAGCCATTTTTGCTGGCTGGCGCAGCCATATGGAGGGGAAAGACAGCATTTCACTTCTGTAAACAAGCCTTAACTCTGAATCTGGAGAATAAAAATCATTGAGGTGAAATCCCTTCCAGTTCTAATTTTTTTTTAACATAAGAAGGGGGAGCTGGTTTTCCTCTGGTTCCCCCTTCCCCTCGCTGCCAACTGCCTCACGCTCTTCAGAAGGGTCCCACAAGCATCTGAAATTCAAGCCAGTGGAGACCTCAGTTGCGTGGGGTAAATCAGAGAAAACTGGCCCCTTCTCATATGTTAGCGGATGGCTCCACTGACAGCAGAATAGGAGCATGGGTTTTTATCCATTTAATAATAAGAATAAGAATAAGAATAAGAATTTCAACCATTGTCAGAGAAAAAGAACAAGCACCTCTGAATAAGGCATTCTATTGGCAGGTGTTGTAGTCAGGTAACAGGGATACATTAATTGGTCAATTTTAGTTTCTTATTTTCCTGGGCTTAAGTTCTGTTTCCCATGTTTTTAAATCAGTTCACGTTCACCATCTTCCCCGCCAACATACACACATTTCCCAGCAGATTTACCCCTCTTTGTATAGACCCATTTGCACAATCCATTTCAAATAGGATCAAAGCACTCCAAATAGCCATGGCTTCCCCCAAAGAACTCTGGGAACGGTAGTTTGGAAAGGTTGCGGAGAGATTTTAGGATCCCTCTATTCTCCTCACAGAACTACAATTCCCAGAATTCCCACGAGAAACAAATGGATTGTTAAACCCCTCTAGGTCTGAAGGTGTCACAGCAGTCTGAAGAGCTCTCTGGGCTTTCTCCCTTTTAATGCATGGCTTATAATGATCAGTATCATTTATATACCTATTTGTAAATCTGCGTATAATTCTATTTACATTAGGATTAATGGAATATTCTTATTGCCAGTGCCAGCTGGGGAGCATGCAACTCAGTTTTAATCCCAAAAGACCCACTGAAATGAAGGAACGTAAGTTTTTTATGCCTGCAATTGGTTTACTCCAAGAAGGACTAGTCTTAGATACAACCTAGTGTCTTTAGCTTTGCTCCTTCCTTTTATATTTGCAAATAAAAAATTGAACAAAGGAAGAAAAGTACCCACGTATTTTCCCCCCAGTGAGACCAACATTAAGTTTAGGGTGTGAGAATTGAGACTAAAGATATAGGGAAATTGGTTAATTCTCTCTACTGCTGTGCCTCTATTTCAGTTAAAAAAAGAAAGTTTGTTGCATTTGATTCCATCATGCCCCTTAAATCTCAAGTGATTTTTCTAGATAGATCAGTTTAGATCTCTCTTAGTCTTCTTGCAAAACCCTCACTCCAACTTTCTCCGAAAAACCCATTCAGTTTTGCTGAAATATGTAGACACTGGTTTACATTTTACGTGGCTACATTTAACTATCAATAATATGTTGAACATCTTCAGATTTTTATTTTAAAAGTCGTTTGGGAGCCTGCGCCTGTGGATTACTGAGTTTTACAAAATAAAAAACAACAAACAGTTCTTTTGAACAGAATCTGTTCTATGATTCTAGATAGGAAGACCCAAAATAGAAAAAGTGAAGAGAGCCACATTAGTTCCTAAGAAAAATTCAGAAATCTACAGTAGGACTATACATTTATAAACCCAGCCCAAATGTCACAAGGCAGTCTGCAAGTTTATCGGTTCTCCAGAACGGTCTGGAAAGCTGAGATTCTCCACACTATTTTATTACATTTTGGTTGGTCTTTTGCACTCATATGGATTTTGGAGCACCATTAGAAACTGATTCAACCTTCCTCATAAATCATATTGGGTACCTGGAAGGAACACTACAACTCAAATTTACTTCTCTGCCATCTTTTGCACCCAACAGTAAGATTATGTCAAGGTTAGCTGAGAAGGGGAATTTGACAGAAATATTTTCAAAGATTGTCACAATGACCCACCAATAATTTCCCAGTGTTATTGAGGAGAGAAGAGGCATGTAAAACGGATTTGCAACATCCTGCTCTGGCTAGGATTACAAATACATTTTCTATGAAAGGCTCATTGTAAACTAAACAACAAATGCCCTAAGGTCAGGTTTACAGTCAGAGAAGGAAAAGAGGGCAAAAATGATGGAAAAGTTAGAATATTGTCACAGGTATGGAAAGGGTTGTGATAAATTCAGTGACTTACCTGTGACAGTCAGGCGGGTCCCTCCTCCGAAGACGTACCACAGTGACACAAAGCTGTACAAAAACCTGCTGTTCCTTCACAAGGCCATTGACAACTATCCCATATGGGATTAGTATGGGTAATAGGACAACTTCTGTTTTCCTTACAGTGACATTACAGCTCAGTTTTATTTTTTTACCATCTTTTGCATCCAATGGTTCAGCCACCAAGGCTATTTTGATATATTTCCCCCCAAATACTGTCACAAGGACCTAGACTAAGGAAAAGAAATCTCCGTCCACCCCTAACTTTCCAGTGTTATTGAGGAGAGAAGAAACCTGCAAAATGGGTTTGCACAATTCAGCTCTGGCTAGGATTTCAAATACTGTTTATAGTAAATTCTCATTGCAAAGTAAATGACAGCCGGAGAAGGAAAAGAGGGCAAAAGTGATGGAAAAGTTAAAACATTGCCACAGGTGTGGAAAGGACTGATAAATTCAGTGACTTACCAAGGACAGTCAAGTGAGTCCCTCCTCCGAAGACGAACCACAGTGACACACAGCTTGACAAAAACCTGCTGTTCCTTCACAATGGGACAACTATCCCATTTGGGAATAGAATGGGCAATAGGAGAACTGCTATTGTCCTTACGGTGACATAAGGTAAAGGTAAAGAGACCCCTGACCATTAGGTCCAGTCGTGACCAACTCTGGGTTTGTGGCGCTCATCTCGCTTTACTGGCCGAGGGAGCCAGCGTATAGCTTCCAGGTCATGTGGCCAGCATGACTAAGCCGCTTCTGGCGAACCAGGTCAGCGCACGGAAACACCGTTTACCTTCCCGCCGGAGCGGTACCTATTTATCTACTTACACTTTGATGTGCTTTCAAACTGCTAGGTTGGCAGGAGCAGGGACCGAGCAACGGGAGCTCACCCCGTTGCAGGGATTCGAACTGCCGACCTTCTGATCGGCAAGTCCTAGACTCTTTGGTTTAACTCACAGCGCCACGGTGACATATTTCCCCCCAATTCTGAAGAAGTTTATTTTTAATAGATTTATAAGCTGCTTTCCCCAGAAATCCAATGTTTCATAAAGTGGTATACAAACACCAGTCAAAACAAGGAGTTCAAATACAGTTTTAAAGAATGCTTAGAGTCAATGGCACATGCAATGAAATATTGTACATAGCAGTATGTTTGGGAAGAAAAATGTCATACTTACCTGGCTCATCTCTGGGCAAGGCGGATACAGTCTGTGCTGAGTATCTGGAAGAGTCTCTGGACTTCCAAGTAGTTCAGTTCCAAGTTATTCATTTCTAAATGTACGGAGTATTATTGATGGATTTCTCTGGTCCGTGGGAAGGACTGTGGTGCCCTTCAGTTCCTGTGGACTACAACTCCTATCGTCCCTAAGCATTGGCCATCCTAAGTGTGGATGATGGGCATTGTAGTTCAAAACATCTGGAAGCCACCATGTTGTCTACCTCTGCTTTAGTCATCCTAACTAGATCTCTATAGGAGAACCAAACCATTGATACCACTGCCTTATTTTGTGCAGCAGATGTTGGCCCTGTTTCTTACAAGAGTCCTCACAAGCGAATTAATCTGTAAGCAGTGAAGCTTTGTCTTCTTATAAATTAAACTCAATGCACTGGAGCTTAAATATGAACTTCCCTAATCAGCTACAGGTATGTTTCAGAGAAAACAGTTATCACTGATTTTTTAAAAATGAGCTTGTTATTGAGTTTTAAGAGGTGCCAATGAATTTCATTTCTTCAGGGTGAAACAGAGATGCTTCCACTGATGCATAATCCAACACTTAGGATTTATGGGTAGAAGAAAATTCTTGATTGCTTGTATGGCTTCTGACTTCTCTCATTTGCACACTGTCCAACTTTCTGTGTGAAATAACGCAGGCCTGGGAAGTTTCCCTGCAAGTGTATTTTGATCAGAATTGCACTGCACCATGGATTTTGTGGTCAGCACCAAGGATTTCATAGATAGAAGCCAACAGGAGCAGACTTTTCAGCAGACTTTTGCAAAGCCGATAATCACATACTGATGGCTTTTATTATTCTGATTTATGTATCTCATTTGAGTGGCAATTAGTTCCAAGGCAGAGAGTTTACCTGCTGAACCATCCATGAAGTGCAGCCATGGTCACCTGGTCAGCAAGGTAGCTTGGACCATGTCTGCTTACATATGTTCAGGCCTAGACGGCATAGACAGACTATAAGAAACAAATGATGCTGCGGAAGGCCTCTTGGTCATAATTGCACTGTTGTGTGTGTTCGTAGTAGTCCATTGTTGGCAGAAACTGGGGGATGGGGCTGCTCATTGTTATGGGGGTGAATCTGTGAGCATGAGGAAGGCTATTACCTTAGGAGATGTAGGCATGGAATGGAAGACAACTTTGGTCAAGAGAACTCTGGCTTAAGTAGGGTCCAGTTGGATGCTGAGGAGAGGTGAGATGCAGCAGCTGGAGAACTTTGAGACTGAAGAGGAGGAGGCTGACCCTCCATGGACAGGTTGGAAATAAAAAAGTGGGAGCTGGCTAAGGAGAGACCTGCTTGTTGAGCTGGTGTAAATCCTTCACCATTTGATACTCACTGACATTTGATACCCATCATAGGTTTGCTCCCTGGTGCCCTGGGTTCCCGAGCACCCACAAAATTCCCCATGAAGGGGCCGGGCACCCACAAATTTCTGTGCCAGGGCCATGAACACTTCATTGCACCTACGGTGCCAGACACCCACAGTCGCGGAGTCAAGTTGGCACTCCTGGTACCCATTGTGTACATATTGCTCACAAGCAGCCATAAACATCTTCCAAGGACGTGGGTATCTCCCTCTATCTCCCTTTTCCCCTGTCAGGTTGCTGTCAGCAGCTCCTGGCTGGTTGTCCAGGAAAGTATAAAGACAAGGAAAAGTTTCTTACTGTCCTTTTTTATTTCAATATTACAAAGAGAAGCTATAGAACCCATCTTCTTGGATAATGGTGTTCTTCCAAGTGAATCTCCACCCCCATCTCTCCCACTTCCTCATTTGTCATCACTTCTATGGGTGATGCTATGTGCCCTCTGTCTTTGAGCTCTTCGATCTCCTGCTTTTCAGGCTCGCGGGTTCTGGGAGATGAAGGGTCTGGGATGCTTTCTAAAGACAGCGTGTCAGCCAGCTGCCATTCCGGTCCTGTCTCTTCATCTCCCCTGATTTCCCAACTTCCACCCTCCTCTGCCTCTGAGCTGTGACCTCCCTCAAACCCCTGTTCTAGATCTATACAATGGTACCTCATGTTACATACGCTTCAGGTTACAGATGCTTCAGGTTACAGACTCCGCTAACCCAGAAATAGTGCTTCAGGTTAAGAACTTTGCTTCAGGAGGAGAACAGAAATTGTGCTCCAGTGGTGCGGCAGCAGCAGTAGGCCCCATTAGCTAAAGTGGTGCTTCAGGTTAAGAACAGTTTCAGGTTAAGAACGGACCTCCGGAACGAATTAAGTACTTAAGCCGAGGTACCAATGTACTGTCTTCCTCTTCCTCCTCCCTGGAGGGATCAGGATGGGGAGGCAGTCTGCACCATTCCTTCTCTGCCCACTCCCTGACATCCCCCCCGCCCCCCAGATAGCCTAATTCAAATAGGAGTGCGCAGAAAGCTGGGAACAAGGTGTGCTGTGGCATTTTCTTCATGGGCTACATACCACATGACAGTATTGCGTATAAGGTATTGGCTAACAACTTCCCAGTGATTATGGAATTTTATTTTATTGTTTTGTTTTGTTTTGTTTTATTCTCTGGAGAAACCCGTGATTTTAATTCAATAGAGCCTAGAACCTCTTCATTAAACATTCTGAATGTGATGAGTGAGCCACTGAGTGGAAGGAAGAACATGTTGGATTGTAAGTAAGGTTTGGAAATGTTTGAAATACCCACCAGAAATGAATCTGGGATGCATCCCGAACCGAAATTGACCTTTTCCATTTCTCAGGACCTAAACTGGTAGGTAGGACTAAGAGAGAACCCAGCCTGATCTCCAGGAAAGCCACAGCCCACCAGTGTAGAAAATGCCCACCTTGATGGACCACTGGTCTGACTTGGGAGAAGGCCACTTCCTACATTCCCTGAAATCGCACTGCTTTTACCACTGCTCCTATCAGCCACAGACCTGAGTTGAGTGTACTTTGGCAGAGTAACAGCACACTTCCTTCTATAATATAACAGGAAACCATGAATACAGCTTGCTTGAAGGAGATGGAATGAAGAAGTGGGTCAAGAAATCACACCGGTGAAATGTATGACATTTTATTAATTTGCTAACATTATAAGCCAACACACAAAGGAGATTCCAGGGAGGAGAGGAAGGGAGGAGGTGTGGGGAGGGGAACGACATAGGAAGGAAACCAGACTTGATGGATCAACGTAGCATTAGAGGAAATCAGAGAATAAACTTGGCCCCCTTGAACATGAAAGGACTCTTTCTTCTCGGCTGCTGGAGGCACGAGAAACTCATCAGACCCATCCAGCCTTTAGGCACAGTCCGATCTCCTCACCACCTTTTCAACCGTCTTTCCTTCATGCGTCACTTTGCAGGTGACTTCCTCCTTCCTCTCCCAGTCGGACTTTTTCATGCTGAGGTAGCTGCTGGCCGCGTACTTGTCATTCAGCTTGGTGGGCGTGGTTGTCTCCACCCCAGAGGAGATGGGGGTGCCATCAGCCTGCCAGGTAACTTGGACAACGCCTGGGTAAAAGCCATCCATGAGACACACCAGGGTGGCGCTGTCTGAGCTCTTCAGTTCTTCTGGGGATGGTGGGAAGACGTTCACTGTTGGAGGTACTGTTGGCTGACCTGGAAGTCAAGGGGAAATTTGGTTAAGTGTCGTGTCTCAGGGGAGTATTAAATATTTGGCACATATAATAATTTACTTGATTTCATAAAGGAAGCACTAATCGGACTCTATTCCCCAAAGTTGTGTCCTGAAATGTTTTGTAAGGACCTGTTACTAATTGGTAGCTATACTTTGAGCTGGAAGTGTCCTACAAGATGTCTTACAGCTCTTTATGATTTTATGAAAAAGGTCCAGGAGAACCAGGTCGTATTCCTTTATAGCAACCCAAAATGTAAGAAACACATGATTCAAGCCATGCAAAATATATTATGGTCTATGAAGCAGCACAGGCATTCTTGGCATGACTGAACTGTGGTGATCTGTGAGAGGAAGAGTTTAGACTGCATCAGTCCAGTTAGGAATATCCACATCTAGAATGCCATAGACACTAGAGAGCTGCTGTCAAATTTTACACATCATTTGGGAAGACAGGCCCGTGTACTGGAAGAAGCAAAGTTGTACTGATCATGTTGTGCTGATGCCTGATTATCGTCTTCCAAAGCAACTACAGTGGTACCTCTACTTACGTTGGTCTCCGGTTACATATCCTTTGGGATATGTACGTGGCAAACCCAGAAGTATTTTTCCGGGTTTCACCGTGCGTGCATGCGCAGAAGCACTAAACGGTGCCACGCACATGCGCAGTAGCTGCACCTCCGGTTGCGAATTGTTTGGGATCCAACCATTGGCAACTGGAGGTACCACTGTACTCTATTCTGAACTTAAAAATGGGAAGTGCAATGCTGGTGGTCAACAAAAGAGATTTAAAGACTCTCAAGGCAAATGTAAAAGAATGTAGTACAGTGGTACCTTGGGTTCAGAACTTCTGGAGGTCTGTTCTTCGTTCTGGAGGTCTGTTCTTAACCTGAAACTGTTCTTAACCTGAAGCACCACTTTAGCTAATGGGGCCTACTGCTGCCGCTGCACCGCTGCTGCACAATTTCTGTTCTTATCCTGAAGCAAAGTTCTTAACCCGAGGTACTATTTCTGGGTTAGCGGAGTCTGTAACCTGAAGTGTATGTAACCTAAAGCGTATGTAACCCAAGGTACCACTGTATAATAACTGGCAACTGGGAAGCACTGGCCTGCGAGCACTCCACTTGGAGAACAGCTTTTACCAAAGGTGTTGTGGACTTTGAAGATGCTCAAACTCAGAACGAAAGGGAGAAACATGCTATGAGGAAGGCACGTTCAGCAAACCCTCACCATGACCAACGCCCACCCGGAAACCCATGTCTCCACTGTGCAAGGACATGTGGATCCAGAATCGGCCCCCATAGTCACTTACAGAATCACTTTTAAAACTGTGTTTATGGAAGACAATCTTACTCGGCCAAAGAAGGAAGAAAGCTGTTCAGATCTCCCTATCCCATAACTGTGCGAGTTCTGCCAGTCAGCATAAAGCAGGGATGTGGAATCTGTGTCTCTCTACTCGGTGACAGCCCCATTAAGCATGGCCAGGGCTGATATGATTTCTGGTGTCACAGCATCCGGGCAAAGGTAGAGGGTTGCTGTGTTACCCCATCCCTGACATGGTCAGGAGTGGACAAGATCAATGCACAATTTGGACTAGTCACTGGTTCTTAAGCACAGTGGTACCTCAGGTTACATACGCTTCAGGTTACATACGCTTCAGGTTACAGATTCCGCTAACCCAGAAATATTACCTCGGGTCAAGTACTTTGCTTCAGAGAACTTTGAGAACGGAAATTGTGCTCTGGCGGCGCGGCAGCAGCAGGAGGCCTCATTAGCTAAGCTGGTGCTTCAGGTTAAGAACAGTTTCAGGTTAAGTACGGACCTCCGGAACGAATTAAGTACTTAACCTGAGGTACCACTGTACAAAGGATTGTTCAAAATTACGAGTTCTTCTGGGGAATGACCCACATGTTTATACTGACTGCCATAGCAAAGGAGAGATCATTAAAGCAGCCTGTTTGCTCTCAGAGGGGGTGAACTTTCATTGCACATAAATATTTTAAAGTCAATCAGATGAGCCCTTCTGGATCAGGCGAGAAGCCCATCTGCTTGGGACACTGTGCTCATAGCGGTCAACCTGATGTCTATTGCAAGCTTGCAAAAAGATTCCAGAGCAACAGCCCTCTCTGTGCTTTTGATCCATGGCAACGGGTATTGCAAAATGGCCTCAAAGAGCATCAGAAAATAAGAGGTCTGCTGGATCAAGGTTGCAATGGCCCATCTAGACTTCCATTCTGCTCTCACAGTGATCAACTGGGTGTCTATGGGAAGCTCACAAGCATGAACAGAGTGTAGCAGCACTCTGCCCATTGGGGAGTCCAAGCAACAGCCATTTTTGCTCGCTGGCGCAGCCATATAGAGGGGAAAGACAGCATTTCACTTCTGTAAACAAGCCTTAACTCTGAATCTGGAGAATAAAAATCATTGAGGTGAAATCCCTTCCAGTTCTTATTTTTTTTAACATAAGAAGGGGGAGCTGGTTTTCCTCTGGTTCCCCCTTCCCCTCGCTGCCAACTGCCTCACGCTCTTCAGAAGGGTCCCACAACCATCTGAAATTTAAGCCAGTGGAGACCTCAGTTGCGTGGGGTAAATCAGAGAAAACTGGCCCCTTCTCATATGTTAGCGGATGGCTCCACTGACAGCAGAACAGGAGCATGGGTTTTTATCCATTTAATAAGAATAATAAGAATAAGAATAATAATTTCAACCATTGTCAGAGAAAAAGAACAAGCACCTCTGAATAAGGCATTCTATTGGCAGGTGTTGTAGTCAGGTAACAGGGATACATTAATTGGTCAATTTTAGTTTCTTATTTTCCTGGGCTTAAGTTCTGTTTCCCGTGTTTTTAAATCAGTTCACGTTCACCATCTTCCCCCCCAACATACACACATTTCCCAGCAGATTTACCCCTCTTTGTATAGACCCATTTGCACAATCCATTTCAAATAGGATCAAAGCACTCCAAATAGCCATGGCTTCCCCCAAAGAACTCTGGGAACGGTAGTTTGGAAAGGCTGCGGAGAGATTTTAGGATCCCTCTATTCTCCTCACAGAACTACAATTCCCAGAATTCCCACGAGAAACAAATGGATTGTTAAACCCCTCTAGGTCTGAAGGTGTCACAGCAGTCTGAAGAGCTCTCTGGGGTTTCTCCCTTTTAATGCATGGCTTATAATGATCAGTATCATTTATATACCTATTTGTAAATCTGCGTATAATTCTATTTACATTAGGATTAATGGAATATTCTTATTGCCAGTGTCGGCTGGGTAGCATGCAACTCAGTTTTAATCCCAAAAGACCCACTGAAATGAATGAACGTAAGTTTTTTATGCCTGCAATTGGTTTACTCCAAGAAGGACTAGTCTTAGATACAACCTAGTGTCTTTAGCTTTGCTCCTTCCTTTTATATTTGCAAATAAAAAATTGAACAAAGGAAGAAAAGTACCCACGTATTTTCCCCCCAGTGAGACCAACATTAAGTTTAGGGTGTGAGAATTGAGACTAAAGATATAGGAAATTGGTTAATTCTCTCTACTGCTGTGCCTCTATTTCAGTTAAAAAAGAAAGTTTGTTGCATTTGATTCCATCATGCCCCTTAAATCTCAAGTGAGATCCCCCCCCCCCCCCCCCCCCCCCCACCCCCCCCCCCCCCCCCCCCCCCCCCCCCCCCCCCCCCCCCCCCCCCACCCCCCCCCCCCCCCCCCCCCCCCCCAACTAATCGGACTCTATTCCCCAAAGTTGTGTCCTGAAATGTTTTGTAAGGACATTTGACTATCTGGAAGGCAAGACTTGTTGATGTCAATCTCCTCCAAAAGCTTTTCTTCTCCTCCAGCCTCAAGAAACTTTGTAATACTGTTGCTTGTGAAGCCTTCTTCTCTGTTTAACTGCTATTATGCATTATATATTCTCAGAGTGCCCCACGATTTAATATATCATATGGATGTATCCTAAAAGATTTATTGTGCTCCATGTGATGATGGTGTCAGAAACTGGGAGCTGCCATTTAAATTCCCCATAATACTCCTGCATTACTCTGAATCACTGTGAGCAAATTTAAATGGTGGCTCCTGAAACCATCTATTTTTAGAAAGAGGAATCATTGGGCTGTGAGTTGGACTAAGTGTGGTTGAAGACCCCTTCGACGTCTTCATGATTCTCTGAAAATTGCCAAGGGGAACCGAACCTTAATGCTTCATAGCACAGAAAATACTGTTGTGCAATATACACATAATTGAACCTGTATCTTTTGGTCTATGAAGCAACACAGCCATTCTTGGCACCCTTGAGCTGTGGTGAGGAAGAGTTTATTCAGAGATTTCTCCTCCTCATTACAGTGCATGAGTCTGGTTAGGAATATCTGCAACTAGAATACCATAGTGCGCATGGGAGGGAGTTGTAGATCATACATCTATGCTAATGGGAGAGGCTGCAGAGCTTGGTTTCCATGCAAAAGGTCTTGGGGTCATAGTCTGACATTTCTAGGGCTTTGAGAAACTTCCTGAACTTCTGTCCTTTCATCTCCGCTCTATAAAATATTGATGAGTTAAAACCAATTAACACAAAGATAAAACAAAGTGAAGACCAATTTAGAAACTGGGGAGCTGCTTAGGAACTGGGATATAAATTCCCTGCCTGATATGCACTTTTAAACTCACATATTTATACTGACAGCCATAGCAAAGGAGAGATCTACAAAGCACCTTATTTGTTCTTGTACACATGGTGAACTACCATTGTCAGGAGTGCAAACGTGGCCCCAGGACTGTGGCTGCCTGAGGCCATGGGTGCCATCCAGCGTGCATGGCCCTGGAACTGAAATTTGTGGGTGCCCAGTCCGTTCATGGGAAATTTTGTGGGTGCTCAGGCACCCAGGGGCCCAGGGAGTCAGCACCTATGTTCATTGTGCATAAGTAATTTAAAGAATATACAATGAGCCTTTCTGGATCTGGTCCAAAGTAGGGTTGGCATAATCCAAAAGTAGGGTTGCCTTTTTGTTTTTCAAAGTTTTTGAGCTTTTTTGGGGGGAACATCTCCCCCCAAAAAATAGCTTAAGAAGAAGAAGGGTTTGGATTTGATATCCCGCTTTATCACTACCCGAAGGAGTCTCAAAGCGGCTAACATTCTCCTTTCCCTTCCTCCCCCACAACAAACACTCTGTGAGGTGAGTGGGGCTGAGAGACTTCAGAGAAGTGTGACTGGCCCAAGGTCACCCAGCAGCTGCATGTGGAGGAGTGGGGAATCGAACCCGGTTCACCAGATTACGAGTCTAGCGCTCTTAACCACTACACCACACTGGCTCTCCATTTTGGACTTCTTTTTCATTTTTTCAAAGCATTATTCTAAAAAAATAAATTAAAAAATTGTCCTAGTTGCCATAACGCCGCAGCAAAAATATGCCCGGATGCCATTTTGGAAGTCCGATTCCCAGACTTTGACAACAGAGCCCATGTCATTTGACAATCTGAGAGCTACACTGCTCCATGCATTTTAATTCCCAGCAGCTGCTATTGAGAGACAGCCTCCAACAATGGATAGAGAACATAGCATTAAAACAGAAGAAGAGTTCAGCTGGATGAGGATTGCAAAGGCCTATCTAGTCCTCTGTCCTGCTCTCACAGTAGTCAACCTGATGTCTATGAGAAGCTCGCAAGCAGGAACAGAGGGCAGAAGCAACCCCCCCCAATTGGGAGACCACGCAATGGCCATTTTTGCCTGCTGAGAGGGTCATTTGGGGGGATAAGGCAGTGCTTCACTTTTGTGAACAAGCCTTAACTCCAAATTCGGAGGATAAAGATCCCTGAAGTGAAATCCATTCTAGTTATGTGAAGACACCATCTATGAACATAGAAAGGGGGAGAGGATTTTCTCTGGTTTCCCCTCATTGCCAACTGCTTCACACTGTTCAGAAGGTCCCACAACTCTCTGGAATGGATCTCAAAGGCTGGGGGATACACTTGGAGAGGGAAAATTAGAGAAAACTCTGCCCCCTTCTCAAATGTCAACAGATGTCTCCACTGAAAGCAGAAGGGGAGCATTGGTTTTTATCCATATATTTTTTAAAAAACGATTTCAACCATGTTACAAGAAAAAGACGAACAAGCAACTCTGAATAAGTTGTCTTACTGGTTTGTCTTGTCGTCAGGTAATAGGGAAGCGTTAATCTTCTAAATTATAGTTTCTCATTTTCTTGGGCTTAAGTTCAATTTCCCATGTTTTCAAATCAATTCATGGTTTCTTTTTCGGTCCTCACAGAATGTTCACCAGGTTTTCTCCCAACATACAGTACATATATTTACAAGCAGTTTTACCTTTCTTTGTACAGCTCCATTTGCACCGCACAAAAAGTGCGAGGTTTTTAGCGGGGACAATTAAAATAAAATCTATCATTTGATTAATGATGTAAAACCCCCAAAATGTATTTTCTATAGTTAAGTTTTTACCTCTATCTTCAGTACATTTTATTATATTTTATTGCTACGGCTAGTGACTGATTCAAATAAAGATTCAATCATCTATATCTATCTATCTATATCTATCTATCTATCTATCTATCTGTCTGTCTGTCTGTCTGTCTGTCTATCTATCATCTATCATCTATCATCTATCGTCTATCTGTCATCTTTCATCTATCATCTATCTATAAAGTAGGCTCAAAGCACTCTAAACAGTCATGGCTTCCCCCATAGAACTCTGGGAACTGTGGTTTGGAAAGGTTACTGAGAGATTTTAGGATCCCTCTATTCTCCTCACGCAGAGTTCCCACGGGAGACAGATTGATTGCTGAACCCCTTTTGGTCTGAAGATCTCGTCGTAATCTGAAGACCACCAGCCCTGGTGCTTTCTCCCTTTTAATGCATGGCTTATAACCACCAGTCTCATTTAGGTGCCTATTTGGACATTTGGACATGCCTATATTAACGGATTAATGGAATATTCTTATTGTTAATGTCATTTGGGTTGCACTCAACTCAGTATTAATTCATGCAGACCAACTGAAATTAATGGAGTTAAATTTGTTCATTTCAGCAGGTCTACTCTGAGCAATGATTAGCATGGGGCGCAGATATTCCGAAAGAAAGAAAGAAAGAAAGAAAGAAAGAAAGAAAGAAAGAAAGAAAGAAGGAAGCGTCTATATTTTTCCAGTGGGACCAACAGTAAGTCTGGGATGCAGCAATTGAGACTACGGAATTAATCTTTGCTGCTGTGCCTCTACTTCAATTAATAAATTAAGCCTGTGCAGTTGATTTAACAGCAAAGGAAAAAATCAGGAGATCTGATCATCAATCTCATGGGTTAGGTTGCTTTCAACCTTCTGATGCACTGTGAATTGCAAAGTGGTCACTTCAGTTTGTTCCCAAACCCCATTCAGTTCTGGTGAAATTTTATGCACAGAGTTGACCCTGGTTTCCATTTCAGATGATTGCATTTTGTGTTGTAGAATGCAGAGAGTCCTGTTTCTCTTAGATTGGGAGCATGTTGCTCTGAACTGCAGAGCTATCTAGAAACAGAATCTATTCTATTCCTCTGCTTAGGAAGTCCCAAAATGAAAATACAAAATTAGAAAAAGTAAAGGGAGCTACATTTGAAAAACAACACACAACCCAGATCCAACCATTTTATAAGGTGAGCCAAAATGTCACAATGTAAGGTGCAAGTGTTTAGGCCACCCAGAATGGAGATTTCTGGAAACCTGAAATGCTTCACGCTATTTTGTGACATTTTGGTTGGTGTATTGCTTTAATGTGACCTTTGGAGCACAATTCGGGGATTATCCAAACTGCCCTTAATTCATATCGGGTACCTGGAATAGCACAGCTCAAATTCACTTTTCTGCTATCTTTAGCACCCACCAGTAAAATTACGTCTGAGTTTAGCCACCACGGAAATTTGCAAAAAATGATTTCCAAAGACAGTCACATTGACCTAGACTAAGGAAAAGAATTTCCCACCCAGCCTGAATTAACTGTCCAATGTTCTTGAGGAAAGAAGAGGCAGGTAACATGGTTTTGCAATATCCCGTTCTGGCTAGGATCACAAGTACATTTTCTATGAAAGGCTTGTTGTAAACTAAACAACAAATGCCCTAAGGTCAGGTTTACAGTCAGAGAAGGAAAAAAGGGCAAAAACGATGGAAAAGTTAGAATATTGTCACAGGTATGGAAAGGGTTGTGATAAATTCAGTGACTTACCTGTGACAGTCAGGTGGGTCCCTCCTCCGAAGATCCACCACAGTGACACACAGCTGTACAAAAACCTGCTGTCTCTTCACAAGGAGAGACAAGCCGTCGACACCTATCCCATTTGGGAATAGAATGGGCAACAGGACAGCTTCTGTTTTCCTTACGGTGACATATTTCTCCCCTATTTCTTAAGAAGTTTAAAAAAATTAATTTATAAGCCACTTTTCCAAGAGATTGAACATTTCCTAAAGTGGTGGATGAACACCAATAAAAAAACAAACAGTACAAATGAGCCATCTTTTAAACAGAGTCAATGGAACATACAGTGGTACCTTGGTTCTCAACCTTAATCCAATCCCGAAGTCCGTTCCAAAACCAAAGCATTCCAAAACCAAGGCGTGCTTTCCCATAGAGAGCAATGCAAAACGGATTAATCCGTTCCAGACTTTTAAAAACAACCCCTAAAACAGCAAGTTAACATGAATTTTACTATGTAACAAGACCATTGATCCATAAAATGAAAGCAATAACCAATGTACTGTACTATAAAATAAATAAGACAGCATTGTAGATGATAAAAATTAAAATTATTATTTTTTCCTTACCTACACTGATGATATTCATTGTTTGGATGGGGACTGTTATCCATTTCCGCAGTCACACAATCAATCAATCAATCAATCAATCAGTAGCTGAACTAGGTTCCACACAGTCACAAAAACAAATGAACTGAAAAAGCCTCAAAAACAAAAATGGAAAATAAATACAAAAACAAAAGTGCCAAACTTAATCCGTTCCAGAAGTCCGTTCGAAAACCAAGGCGCAGCTTCTGATTGGTGCAGGCACCCCAGAAACAATAACCAACAGCTGCATTCGATGTTCGGTTTCCGAAAAACGTTCAAAAACCAGAACACTTGCTTTCGGCGTTTGAGAACCAAGGCGTTTGAGAACCAAGGTACCACTGTACAACTAAAAATATAGTTAGCGGTGTTTTGGAAGAAAGATGACATAATGACCTGGTTCATCCGTGGGAACAGCATTCCTGGATTCTGTTTGGCAGCCAGAAGACTCTCAGGTCTTCCAAGGAGTTCTGTTGCCCTTTATTTTTCTCTTGATGTTGGGAGCGCGATGGATGAGTTCCTTTGGTCCACCAGTAGCCAAGGCAGTGTCCTCCATATGACTGCAACCCCCTTCATCCCTGACCATAGGCCACCCTAATTGTGGATGATGGGAGTTCTAATCCAAAAACCTAGAAGGTTACCAGGACTTTGCTTCAGTTTGGTCTCTGGAGGAGAATCTAAGAATTGGTACCACTGTCTCATTTAGTCCAGGAGATGTTGGCTCTCTTTCTGACAAGAAGCCTCACAACTGAATCAGTCTGGAGGCAGTGAAGCTTTCTTTGTGCCACAATAGTTTTTTTTATAAATTAAACTCAATGCACTGGACCGTTCTTTGGAGTTCAAGTATGAACTTCCTTAATTAGCTTCTAGTATGTCTCAGAGAAAACACTTATCACAGATTCAAAAAAATGAACTTGTACATTGAGTTCTGAAAGCTGCTGCTGAATTTCATTTATTCAGGGTGAAATATATATGCTTCCACTAATGCACAATCCTGCACTTCAAATTTGCAGATAGAAGAAAACTCCATTGCTTCTATGGGTCTCTGTCTGGTCTTTGACAACAATAAGGATTGATGGATTGATTGATCTGTGGGTTCTGACTTCTCTCACTTGCACACTGTCCATTTTTTGGCCTGCTATCATTATTTATTTGTTTATTTATTTATTCATTCATTCTGTGGTTCTTGTGATGAAGAGTGGTATATAAATCTAATAAATAACAATAATGATGTTTTATGCAAGTGTGTTTTGATCAGAACGGCACTGCACCATGGATTTTGTAGTCAGCCCCATGGATTTCATAGATAGAAACCAATAGGAGTAGACTTTTGAGCAGACTTCTCAGAAGACGGCTATCACAAACCCATTGCTTTCTGATTTATCCCACTCTTTTGAGTGGCCACTGCTTCCAGGATAGAGAGATTCAAAATACATGGGGCAGCATCCATGGGGTTCAGCAGTCCGTGTTCTCATCCTCAATTTATTTGTATGCTGCTTTTCCAAAGTTGAAACCATGCTCAAGTACCGTAGTTCTCTTCCTTAGCCTGGACCACGTTTGCTGGCACTGAGACCTAGTAAACAGCTGGTGTACATGGCCTGATGGCCATTGCCATTCTGGGCTTCTTTGGGAGGAAGGCCAGAGTACAAATCCGATAAAAACAAACAACAAACAAGCAAGTAAATAAATGAATAAATAATACTGCAAAAGGGCCTGTCTAAAGCATTGTAGGTGTGCATTTTGACAGCAAAGACGCCTGCTTCTTGGGAGAAAAGTAATGACAAACCTAGACAGCATCTTAAAAAGCAGAGACATCACCTTGCCAACAAAGGTCCGTATAGTTAAAGCTATGGTTTTCCCAGTAGTGATGTATGGAAGTGAGAGCTGGACCATAAAGAAGGCTGATCACCGAAGAATGGATGCTTTTGAATTATGGTGCTGGAGGAGACTCTTGAGAGTCCCATGGACTGCAAGTTCAAACCTATCCATTCTTAAGGAAACCAGCCCTGAGTGCTCACTGGAAGGACAGATCCTGAAGCTGAGGCTCCACCTCATGAGAAGAGAAGACTCCCTGGAAAAGACCCTGATGTTGGGAAAGATGGAGGGCACAAGGAGAAGGGGACGACAGAGGCCGAGATGGTTGGATAGTGTTCTCGAAGCTACCAGCATGAGTTTGAGTAAACTGTGGGAGGCAGTGGAAGACAGGAGTGCCTGGCGTGCTCTGGTCCATGGGGTCACGAAGAGTCGGACATGACTAAACGACTAAACAACAACAAATATATGGGTTTGCAGTCCATCACAGGCAGAAACCTAGGTTGACGCAACATAGATGCACTGGGCCTTTGCTCCCTGGTCCCTGTGAGTGGGTTTGCAATTGTAGAGTTGGAAGCGTCATCTAGTCCAACCCTCGTGATATGATGAAGGGAATCCCCAGAGAAGCTGCGACTTGAAAGGAAGTCAGCTTTGGCCAAGAGAATTCTGGCTCATGGTTTAAGAAGGCCCAAATGTGCCCTTTGTGGCGTTCCCTTGGGGCTGATCAGGCAGAAGGTAGGGACACCATCAGCAGGTGGAGTTGGAGCCAACAGCAGACAGAGGAAGAGACTACCAGTTCTGGTTTCCTCACACCCCCCCCCCCGCAAGTCCTACAAGGAAAATAATGAGACTAAGGGGGAGAAAGTTGACAGCCAAGGCCACATTTTAAACTGGCAGGCAGGTGGGGGCTGGCTAAGAACAGGCTAGAGTTGGTGAGACAATGCTCCATTCATTGTGATGGTCCCACTTTCATAGGGGAGATGTTCTGAGCACAGTCAAAAACACCTGGTCAACAAGGAGAGACTCCTTTCTAGTTTTCAGGAAGTTTTTGTGGCAATGTCCATCAGGGTAGGAAGATTGGCATTAGTCCAAGTAGCATCTTACAAGGTTCACTGGTGTTTTCCCATTTAGGTTCTGGTCTGAGCCTTGCCTCTTTATGCTCAGAGCTAACTAACAGCTGGTGCCTGGGGAAGGAGGATTAATCTGTAAAATATGGCACTGATCATATGTTGTTCTGGAGATTGTAAGATGCTATCACCAGCAGTGCAGGCCCCCAGTATTTATCTGACTGTGCCAGCCCTGGTAATATGCAGAACAGAACTGATGGAATGAGGATTGATTTTGACATTGACATCAACCCAATTCAGATCAATTCTGATCTGAAGTTGCATGGCAAGACCTTCCCCCAAGAACAAATTCTAGAATGAATGGATGATTCTGTAGGAACCATCCTGTAAAATGTGGATGATTCCTCATAGGGAGGCAATATTGGTTTCCTATGAGTTGAATTTAGGTGTAAGTCTGCCAACAACGAAAGCAGAATTTGCCACTGTTACCCTGCTGTCTCTGAAGCATATCTGCTTGTCCAATGTGGGAAACAGGAGACTAGACTAGGTGGGCATTCAGTTTGATCCATCAGGAGAACACTATAGATGTGGAGCTATGGAAAAACCCATGAAAAAAATGGTTTCCCTCCAATTTTTATAGTGTTCTTTTCAAAAAAAATTTAAGTAGAAAAAACAGTAAATATATTTCTAGTTTCCCCCCAATTTTTCACTTCCAGGTCTTTACAACTCTGGTCAGGAGTCATCTGACATTCTGAAATTAAGGGGTGAGATGGACCCAAAGTGGTGGTGAGAATTTACATGAGTCAATAAGCAGGTTACTTATGGAATACCAAATGGTTAAGAGAAGACAGTGCTTTGAGACTCATCCTCCTCTGAAGCAGCCATAGACATCTTTTTAGACCTTTGACAGTTCTCTCTCTTTCCAAATAGCCTCTCACACAAGTTAAAATAGGCTGGGAAGAAGATGGGCTATGGTGTATCATTTCCTGACCAGCTCGTGACAGTACTGTGTAGAAAATTGGGTGGGACTGCCTCATGGTATATGTAGGGTGACCACAATCTGGAGGAAGAAACTGGGACTTTACTAATATCCAGCCCCATATTTGTCATTTTAGATCAGGGGTTCTGATCTGTAGGCCCTCCATATGCACCCCACTTATTCAACCTATTCTTAAATGATTTGGCTCATCACTTTGAGGATGTAAATGGACATCCACCGGCATTAGGCCAACATAAAATAAGATTGCTTTTATATGCAGATGATATTACAATTCTTTCTCATACTCAGATCAGCCTTAGAAGACTTCTGAACTCATTTTTTTCTTCCTTCTGCCAGATCAACTCCTTGGGAATTAATTATGAAAAATCTAAAATTATGATAATTTCTCAAAGTTGTCAAATTGTTAAATGGGGACTAGATAATTACCCCATTGACCAGGTAAAATCTTTTGATCACCTAGGGATATTCTACCAGCCAAATTTAAACTGGACAAAAACACAGGTGTTGAATGACCATCCAAGTAAAATGCACCACATCTGTGATTCTTCATTTTTTCTTCCCCAGAGGCAACCAGATGGTCCCTGCTGCAATAAATATATTTTAATGTCAACGTCCTTTCTCAGTTATTGTATGGCATTCCAATTTGGATAGAAGCATTTAATAGAGTAGCTGA